TGGGAGGTTGTCTAGGAAGCAAAGGCAAAGGAGATACCTCGTGCAGAGGAGTCTGAGGTGCCAGCATCCCGGGATGTGCACAAGCAGCTCAGGTAGCAAGTCCCTGGGCAGTGGGGGGTGTGTGTGCCTGCACAGGCCAGGGGTGGGGGGCGTGCTGGGAGGCGGGAGTGGCAGTCTGAGCCTTGTGATGAGCACAGGGTGGGTGCTATGTTATTACTCCTTCATTTTAATTATTTTTATGTTTATTTTTTTTTGAGAGAGAGAGAGAGTTGGGGAGGGGCAGAGAGAGAGAGGGAGACCCAGAATCTGAAGCAGACTCCAGGCTCTGAGCTGTCAGCACAGAGCCCAACGCCGGGCTTGAACTCACGGACTGTGAGATCATGACCTGAGCCGAAGTCGACCACTTAACCGACTGAGCCAGCCAGGCGCCCCTGTATTATTACTTCTTTTAAACTGTCCATGTTCTTTTTCTACCTTTCCTTCTCCACGTTTTATTATGAAGTACTTTAAACAGAAAGTTGAACAGTGTTCAGTGAACAGCTATAGCCCTCTATTTAAATTCTCGTTAATTTTACTATGCTTTTAAAGTCACATATGTGTTTTATAATTTTTCAAGTATTTAAAAGACTAAAAGAGGAAGACCAAGGAGTCTCCAGTCTGAATTACAGATCTTTGAGACAGATACGACTGGTAATCTCAGGACACAGGAGAAAGGAGTCTGTGGGGAAAGAATTGAAATGGAAACATGTCCCTTGTTTTCTTTGGAAAAGGCATCTCAGTATGAGTTTTATTATTTACTACCGATCGTAGAATTTTTGTATTGACTTATCTGTATTGACCAGTGAAACGCTAGAAATAAATTCAGAATTTTCTGTGTTGCATATGTCCTAATTTGCTTCCAGAAGATGCTGCGGTAGCACTATGGGTGCAGAGGTGTCCTGTGCACAGTAATATGTTTAACACACACGTGTTTATAAGAACCATTGTAAGTAGTATCTCTCAGTGATTTTTCTGTTAGAAAAGTGAATAATTACCCATAATTCCATCCTTCTAACACAAAGATATTTTATAATCTATGTCAGTTGACACAGTGTATTTATGGTCTTTTAAAATGCTATTTCCTTTAACAGATTCTCTTCATGTTTTATTTACTTTCAGTAGTTCTCATCTTGATGGCTCCTGACATGCCATCATTTGGAGGAACTGCAGTTCATTAAGCCAGGTTTCTGAGTTTAGGTTCTGTCCTTTATGTTTGGAAAAAACTCTTAGGAGTGGCATTAGTGAATCAAGAAAGTCTGTTGATGTTACTTGCCGTGTGTTGTTACTTGGCTTTCCGCCGAAAGCGGACGCCCAGGTGGCCCGGTGTTCCCAGGTCCAGCTGGCACAATTACACATTTGGAAAAGAATTTAAGACAGAGTCTCAGGATGAATTTCGCAATTTGCACCCAGTTCATGGATTTTTCTAATAAATTGATCGGCTGCCAATTAAGCTCTCCAGATAAATACAGAGCTCTCAGTTTATATGTATATTCCATTGCTTCTAGAAGATTTTGAGGCGGAATTCTGTTAGAGTGCAGTTGTATACAAGATAATTCTGTTTTATTATTTAGAGTTTTTATTTTATTTTATTTTATTTTTTTAAATATATATTTTTTTATTTTTATTTCTAGGAGAGCGAGAGAGACAGCGTGAGCAGGGGAGGGTCAGAGAGAGAGGGAGTCACAGACTGAAACAGGCTTCAGGCTCTGAGCTGGCAGTCAGCACAGAGCCCGACGCGGGGCTCGAACCCACGAACCGCGAGATCATGACCTAAGCGAAAGTCGGACGCCCAACCGACTAAGCCACCCAGGCGCCCCTATTTAGAGTTTTTAAAAACCTCCTAATTGGAGATTATGTCTCAGTGATTATTGTGTTAGAGAAAATGAAGTTTCAGTCCTGTAGCGTTACCCTACTAACGCGCTTTATACTTAAACGTGTGTCTGTAGTTTTATGTGTATGGTTACACGTGTGTGGGTATAGACCGTGCAGAGGTTGGCCGCTTAGCTTGCTGTAACAGACATGCTGTTAGAAGGCGCGAGTGCTTTTCCTGTGTGTGCCGACCGCGGTTTCCCTGGCCCACGGGGCAGCCCGGGGAGGCTGCCCGTAGAGCCTTGAGTTGAGAGAGCGTGAGCTGTCTCGTCCACGGCCCTTGCTGTCCGCAGGTCCTTCTCACCCCGTTCTGACTGTGTGCCTGTGCAGGCGGACCGCAGGCCCCGCTGTGTTACGACTGCTTGGTTGGTTGGTTGATTTAGGATTGGGCAGAAATTTACCCCCTAGTGACCACAGCTGCAATGACGGCTTCATTTCTTTCCCCAGAATAACTTGTCTGTACCTCACTTGGGCGGCAAACTGTCTTTTCGGCAAGCTGCACTGCTGGTTCCCTCTGTTGTTCCTGTTCTTGCTGTAGCTTCTAGATTTCCTGTAAATTCTGTTGTGTTCTATGGATACAGTCTGTTTTGATGTTTTCTCTTAAAATGGGGACCAGAATTCAGTTTGCATCAGAGATTATCTCTTTTCTCTGTTGTCTAATTTTATTTTCAAGAGTTCTAATAAATGTTTACTAATTGAAATCAAGGTTGTGTTTTAAAGACCTCAGTATCTTTCCCAGTAGAACGCTCACGAAGACAGTGTAAGAGAAAGCAAAGTCATTCTGAAAGCGAGAGTCGGTGGCATTGAGGGAGCCAAGACGAAAGAGGCCAGCCCTCCCCTCCTGAGTCCGTGATGAGCACTAGTTCTCTTGTTTAACGACGTCCAGTTTTCCTGCTGCTTTGTGCTGGGACATCCAGTCTCCCAGCCCCGTTTTCCAGAAGACTTTCCATTCTCTCTGGGGTGCTGTTTAGCCTCGAGGATGTGACCTGGTGGCGTAAGTGTGCTCTGTCTGGTTCTTGTCATCCGCCCGTTCGTAAGCAGCGCTACGCCACCCTGGTTCCCAGCCCTTTCCAGGGGTGCAGAGTCTGGTCCTCTTCCTGGCTGATTCCAGTATTTGCGTTAGCGGGGGTCTGTATCCGTGGTCTGTATTCTTAGTGTGGCTCTTGTTTTCCTGTTGCTTTGTTGGTTTTGAGTGATTTTGAATGTCATGAACGAGAGGTTGCAGACTCTCGATGCTGTTATGGCCCTCTGAGGGACACCGACGGTTTTGCTTTCACAGTTAACGTGTTTGAAGCTTATAGTTTATTTATTTTTGAGACAGAGAGACAGAGCATGAGTGGGGGGGTGCAGAGAGAGAAGGAGACACAGAATCTGAAACAGGCTCCAGGCTCTAAGCTGTCAGCACAGAGCCCGACTCAGGGCTCAAACCCACGAACCGTGAGATCATGACCTGAGCCGAAGTCAGACGCTTAACCGACTGAGCCACCCAGGTGCCCCGTGTGTTTGAAGCTTAACGGGAAACCCTGTGTCCCAGGTTAGGGCGCTTGAAATCGCAGTGTGGTGACGTTGGCCTGCACTTGGGAGTCTTCGTTTTGGCGTCGTCTTAGGAGAAAGCCAGGGATTAGCGAGAAAACTTGGGGACCCCCTGCCTCCAGCCGTCTCCTGGGGTGATTCCCCCTTCCTTCCTTCTTCTGTGGCTTCCTGCTGTCTGTGCTGGTGGTCTCCAAGCCAGTGAGGTTCTGTGTGTCTGGTTCTGAGCTGGTCCGTACGGCACAGCTACCCCATGCCACGGACCTCTCCCGGCTCCGGTCCTCTCTCGCAGGCGTCCGGCCCCACCCTTCAGAGCGTGTGTCTGTCCGGAGGATGTGTAGTGTGATAGGAAGCACTTGGCCATTAGTGGACACACAACCCTTTATTAGTTCCTTTTATTAAAAAAAAAAAAAAAACTTTTTTAAATTATAAAAGTAGTACATGTTCATTGTACATTTGGAAAATTTAGAAAAGCATGCGCGTGCACATGCACGTGCACGCACACACACACGTTACCTATAATCCTGTCCCCAGAGATAACCACTGTTCATATACTGTGTGTTTTTCAAATCATTCTTTTCTCCTTCCTTTCCTCTCCTCTCTTTCCTTCCTCCTCCCATCCTCACTAAATGTGAACGGGGGCGCCTACTTTCCCTTTGGGTCAGCCACTGCACCTTTCCCCACGGGGGGCCGTGCCCTGTGGTATGGCTGGTGCAGGCAGTGTGGGGCCCACCCGGGGACAGCAGGCCATCATGGGACTTGAGCTTGAGTCCCATGTTACACTTGAGTGTAACTTTGGCATTTAAAACGGTTGGCTAAGTAGAGTGGACAGAGTCGAATGATTAAAAAAAAAAATTAGCAACTAGTGATTGATGAACCTCATCCTGAGCATTTAGCGTCACTGCACGGGGGGCACAGAGATGTGAACGGAGTGGGCACCCAGACCTGCTTAGTTCCTGGCTTGCTTGGCCAGGGACTTTTCACTGAACATATGAAATCACCCAGCTATGTATGCGGTGTAGAACGGATGGCTCTCGGGGAGGGTGCTAACTTGGAAAATGCAGTCGTGAAGACCCTGGTTTCTCAGATTGTTGTCTTGTCGATGAGGGTTTTAGTGTCATTTTACAGGAGGAAGGAAATTTCAACCTTTATTTTTATTATTCAGCTTTGGTTTCTGGGGGGTAAGTGATGACAGGCAGTGTGACTAACAGGGAGGCTGAACCGTGGGGTTTGGGACTGGTGTCTCCCGGCACTGGCCGGACCTCTGCTGCTGCTGCTGGTGCAAAGCCAGCTCGTCTCTGAGGGAACGTAGATCTGCATTGATAGGAGACTCCGTTTAAAACCAGGATAAGATCTGTCACAAGTCCTTTTTTCCCCTCCAGAGGTAAGTTAGAACTTAAAGCTACTTATTATATATAAATGTACGTTACATGCAACTGGCAGTTACCATTTCTTTTGTCAAAGAGTAGTGAGGCCAGAGTATGACATAATTAGGATAGCTTATGCCCATTCCCTGAGGCGCCTATGCGGTCAGAATCTCATGTTTTCATTTTCTTTTCCAGCAGCAAGCTCTCGCAGGGGCCCTTGTGGCGGGGGCCGGAAGCGTGGGAGAAGCGGACCCCTTTAAGAGGCAGCAGGCGGGGCCCCCGGCAGGTACGTCCTGGAGCACAGAACCCGGGTGGCCTTAGGGGCCAGTCAGCTTCCTCTTGTGGGAGGTGTGCGTGACGGCCCCCTGGACGCCAGCGCACGGAATTTGGGTTAGCTCTACTCTGACAGTAGTTTTGTTTTGACGACGATCAGCTGCAGAGAACACCTGTGCACTGAGGCTGCAGGTGTGCCTGTTGAATTAGGGGCGTCCGTTTAGATTTGCTGTGCGCTGGCGGGCTCACACAAGGACTGCGGGGAAAGCTGTTTTATGTTTTGAGTCGTCATCCTTTCAGACGGAATTCTTTCTTCAAGTTCCACAAACCCACATTTTACGTGAAAGACTCGGACAGTCAAGGAAGGCGTGACTCAAGCCTGCCTCTGCCGGCAGTGTCCCCTTGTGCGTGCGCTCTCTGCGACAGCAGACCACGTGACTGCCCTGGCCCGCCGGGCCGCACTCGCCCCGCAGGCTCTGTCACTTGGGTGCCAGGGACCCTTTCCTCGTCAGACCCTCGCTGGTGCTCCTTTTTGTTATGATCTTTGTTCTTTTACAGCGAACACAAGGTCAGAGACCTGTTCCCAGATTTTTTTCTGACATGTCTGTCACTGTGTCTGAGGGGGAAACTCCCAGAAAGGGAAGTGCTTGCTGAGAGGGTGTTGGCCGTACACACGCCCCTCCAGGTGGGGCCGGCCCATTTTCAGGCCTGTCCGCAGTTTCTGGCATGCTCACGTTTTGGCCATGAAAAAAAAAAAAAATGTGTGTGTGTTTGGAGAGAGAGAGAATGAACGAAGTAGGGGAGGGGCAGAGAAAGAGGGAGACACAGAATCAGAAGCAGCTCCAGGCTCCCAGCTGTCAGCACAGAGCCCGACCCGGGGCTCGAACCCACAAACTATGAGATCATGACCTGAGTTGAAGTTGGACACTTAACCAACAGAGCCTCCCGAGGCGCCCTACATTCTTGGCCGTTTAATGAAATACGAACACTCCTTTGGTGTTTATTGATCGGATGTGAAAACAAATCTTTTGGTTTTTCGTGGATCTCTTTAATGTAGCTTTTCATGTTTATTAACTGTTCGTGAGTCTCCCTCTGCTCAGCTGTTCGTGCTCTTTGCCCATTTTGTGTGTCTGGTTGCTGGCACTTCCCCATGAACTCGGAAGAGCTTTCCACATGGCGGCCACGTAAACCTTGTGCTCACACGCGTGCAGACCCCTCAGCCTCCTGGGACGTCGCTCACCTTTTGCTCTTGTATAAGGCTGCTGCTAGCACTTGCAGAGTTTTAATGAAAAGATAATTCTCTTTATCAGCTGTACCTTTTCTGGCTTCTGGAGTTTGGGTTACATGTAGGAGGGCCTCCCTGTTCAAAGATTACAAACACTCATACGTGGTTTTTCTACTGCTTTCATGGTTTGGTTTTTATATCAAATTGCAACTTTTCTGAAAATCATTCTAGAGCAGTCTAAGAGGCCTCGGCTTGAAGTGGGCCACCAGGGGGCAGTTTTCCAGCACCCGGGGGCGAATGCAGGGGTTCCTCTTCAGCAGCTAATGCCGACAGCTCAAGGTAAGGTCCGGCGCCGGGACTGGCCCCCTGGCTCAGCAAGGGTGTGTGCGGACGGGCACCTCCGGCCCAGCCTCTGGGTGGCACGCACGGTCGCGGCACGCGGTGCAAGTGGTTTCTAGGGCTGGGGCTCTGCTCTGAGCCCTGGTCCCCGCAGGGAGAGGAGGCCCTGTGAGCACGTTCCCATCCCTGGCGGAGCTGTGCCTCTCCCTGGCCTTGGGCCCTGAGCCTGCGCACTCCTTGATCGCTGCTGCAGTAGGGACCCTCGTGACCATTCTGTTCTGCTTGATGCTAGCTTGCAAAGGTCAACCACCTTTCTTTCCTGTTTTGTGTGCTCATTCATAACATAGGATTTATTGTGACAAGTTACCGCCAATTAAATTTCCCTTTGGGAGTGTGTGATGGCTCTGAGGCGCGGGTCTGTGATGGACGGCAAGTTGCTTGGGACTCCCGAGTCAGTGCTCCGGGCACTTTTCCTGTCTTACAGGAGGGATGCCTCCTGCCCCTCAGGCCGCTCAGCTCGCCGGACAGAAGCAGAGCCAGCAGCAGTATGACCCGACCACGGGGCCTCCGGTGCAGAACGCCGCCAGCCTGCACACCCCGCCGCCGCAGCTGCCCGGCCGGCTGCCCTCTACCACACCCCTCCCGCCGGCACTGCAGTTCGCTCAGCAGCCACAGGCGGGGGAGCCCCACGTGCAGCTTCAAGTCCCGGCCAAGGCCCAGCAGCCAAACGCCCCTGTCCCTGCGCCCCCACCCAGCCAGCTGCCTGCTCCGCCGCCGCAGCCCATGCCGCAGGCGCTGCACGCCCCGGTGCCCGGGAAGGCTCCGCTGCAGGCCGCCCCGCTCCCGCAGCCGCAGGTACGTTGTGGCCACTGTCCTGCTGTTTACAGCAGGAGCAGGAGCGGAGCGTGCTGGGCCTGCAGGGGTCGCGGTCTCCTCGGAGCCAGTCCCCTGCTCGGCGTCATCTCACCCAGCTCTGTAAGCATAGTCAGGTTGTTGCAGCCCCAGAAACAGAACAGTGTCAGTTGGTGCTTGCGGTTCAGCAGACGTGCAGAGGGCAGTGTGGCCGCGTCCCGGCTGACATGTCCTGTGATGTGGGCAGGGGGACCGTGGGTGCACTTGCCGGACAGGCTCCAGGGCCCCCTACGGTGCTCTGCCCTGTGAACCTGTGCATGTGCGCATCACGCGCCTCCCCCCTCTCCCCGCCCCCCATGCAGCTTGCTGGCTGTGGAAAGTGCGCAGTGAGCCGCTCACCATCCCTGAAGGGCAGTGGGTCCCTGAAAGTGAGCGTGAAGCACCGGGAGCACCGAGGGGAGCATTGTGGGGTGGCAGGTGGTGGTCCCAGAGTGTTGTAGTGTGGATGATGGAGCCACGTGGGAAGGCTTCCCCTCCCTCTCGCCATTTCCCTTATGAACAAGGGGGTTTCCTTGGTGGGCTCTCAATTCAAGTGCCTCATGGCTATTCGAGATTGGTGGCGAGGTGCGACCGTGCGTGGGAACGGAATAGCTGCAGTCACACCTGCCTGGTGCTCACCGTGCACCTGCCGTCGGGCGCTGCGCTGTCAGTGTTGCTTCGTTTCCTCTGCCAGGCAGCCCTGGGCAGTAGGCTCTTTCTCATCCTTGTTTTACCATAAAAATACCCCAGAGGCTAAGTACCTGGGCGGGACCCCGCAGCCAGTGGCTGGAGGCGCTGTGGTCTGCACCCCGACTGAGCGTGGAGCCCGTGTGCGGCCCGCGGTCTTGCCGCGTGTGCCTGGCGGAGGAGGGCGCTGCCGCCTGGGAAGCTGAGCCTGTCCAGGCCACTGTTCCTCGTAGGCCTCCGTGGAGGTGCGTCTCGGGCTTGGTGCACCGGGTCTCACTGACCCGCACACTGAGGTTTTGCTTGGATTTCTTGACCCGCCCTTGTCGATGAGAGGAGCCGCTCCTTACAGACCCCGCCCCCCCCCCGCCCAGAAACCTGTTCCTTCTGCCCTGGCTGGGGGCCACAGACTTGCCCCATGAAGAGCCCCAAACAATGGGTGTGAGAACGTGGCCGGCCTGTGTGCTGCGCGGTTTGTGCTGCAGCCTCTGTTCCCCGCCGAGGACGGTGAGCGGCCCTGGAGCCTGTGCGGAGGGCCGTGGCTGGGCCGCTAGTGCCTCCTCCCCGCAGGGGTGCGGCCGGTGCTGCCCTGCTGGCCTGGCGGCAGGGGGAGACTCGGGGCCTTCCCGGGTTCCAGGCTGTAAACGCGCGGCAGTTTGCATCTGTCTCTGCACTAGGCCGTCTCACGCTGTGCTGGCGCCTCGCCTGGCCTGCTCTCCGCGCCCCCACGGAACTTCTGTAGGAATTCAGCTTTTCTGCGGTTGGGGTAGGGGGCTCTAGGTGCACACGCTTTGACGTACGGAGGCCTGCCTGCCACGCGAGGGCACGTGGAATTTGTATTTGCTTTTCAGAGAAAAGGTGCAAGGTGACCATTTGGTATTTTTCAGTTTAGAAAAAGCTCATGCAATTAAAAATTCTAAATGAATTTAAATAGGAGAAAGTGCTAGAATATGTACAAACCAAATGAAGAAGCTCCTGGGGGATAAGCCAGTGTGGGAAAGCCCGTCCGTGACGCATTGTGTGTGCGACCTTGTGGAGTGCAGGGGTGCGGCCCTGTTGTGGGGGGGGGTCTGGCTGTGTGCTGACAGGCCGTGTGCGTGTGTGCGCGTGTGGCTGTGTATGTGTGTGCGCGCGTGTGTGGGACTCGTTTGCATTGCTGTGGGAGGGGCTCCGGCATGCTCACTGCTGTGTGCGCACTAGCAGGGCTCAAGTCTCCTGTTCACTTCCGGCCCGTTCTCTGCCTGCCAGACGGTGGCGCCCACAAGACCGCCTGTGGACCCCACCCAGCCTTGTCAGCGGCCCCCACCAGCCGCCTCTTCTACCTCGTCCATCGCTCCTTCTAGCGGCTCTGGCCCGTCGCCAGCACGGGGCTCTGCAGGGAATAGACCCTCCTCGGCAGCCAGCAAGTCACTGTCTCCGGTCACCTCCCGATCCCCAGGGGCAGTCGTGTCAGCGCCCCCAAAACCACAGAGCCCGGCTCTGAATGCCGCCCCGCCCCAGGACAGCTCTCAGGATAAGCTGGCGGAACAGATAGCACTGGTAAGCACACTCACGACAATTTCAAGATTGTAAAACGTGTTCCAGTTTGTGAAATACATTTGATTTTGATTTGTAAGGATGCAGTAGTTCAGAACTGAGCACTTGGTAGTGAGGACAGTCGAACACTGTTTGTGGTCACTTAGGAACCAAGGTTACAAGCAGGTCTTCCAACCTGTCCTGGTTGGAGAGAAGGTCCGTCCTGCACTGACATCACAGTATGTGCCCGCTGTGGGCGGCAGGTGAGGCCCAGGAGGGCTGCCTCGGCCGGCGTGGCCCTGGCTCAGCACCTAGTTAGCACTTGCTGTTTGTGGGGTGGCTGAGCAGTGGTGGTAAACTTCGTTAGGGGAGTTGAACCCGTAGGAGTTGGTAGGATGCCACAACCCCGGCACGGCCTGCTCTCCGATGTCAACTCCATGGCAGTATGTGGCCGGTCTTAGGGAATCGGTCTCTCCCCTTCCCGGTGGTTTTGGAGCAAGGGTCAGACGTGTGTCGTGTCGCCTCTAGTGCTCTGGTATGAGCATCGGCCTGTGCCTCTGCCCGTGATTCTGAGACGGGCTGGGAGCTTTTGACCTTTGTGTCCAGTCCTATCTTTCTTACTGAGGCTTCATGAATTTGGGGCCAGAATGAGTGGAATTCGCTGCATGATTTCACGGGGGACACCCCGCCCCTGCGCTCCTTGCAGGAAAACCAGACCCATCAGCGAATCGCAGATCTGAGGAAAGAAGGCCTGTGGTCCCTCAGGCGGTTGCCCAAACTGCAGGAGGCCCCGCGGCCCAAGTCGCACTGGGACTATCTGCTGGAGGAGATGCAGTGGATGGCCACGGACTTCGCCCAGGAGAGGAGGTGGAAGATGGCTGCGGCCAGGAAGGTGGGTGAGGCCTGGCGGCCGTGGTCCCCCACTTCTTTAGGTGCTGTGCTGTGCGCGCCAGCGTCTGGACCAGGTCTCTGAAGGGGTCGGCTCCTTCCCGTGAGGAAGGTCATACTGTTGTTTGGCAAGTAACTGTGCCGTGTGAATAATTCCCAAGGGGCTGTCTACAGAGCCCTAGTGGAGGGCGAGGGGCAAACACCATTTCCCTGGCTGCTGTCTGGGATTTGCAGAACGGGACAGAGGTCCCTTTTCTTGCCCGTCTGTCCTGGCACTTGGAGTGAGGATGCCCACAGCTCCGGACCCAGGCCGGTGCCCAGGGTATGGCCGTGTCGGCTCTGAGGAGGCTCAGGGTGGGGAGTGGGCAGAGGCTGATGGGTTGGTGGGCAGCTGGGGTCCTGGCCCTGCCTGGTCCTGTGGTCCAGATCCCCCCCCCACCCCCCCGCCCAGTTCTGGCAAAGTGTGGGTTTCCTTCTCACCAGTTCCAGAGCAGACACCCCGTCCTGGGGAGCTGCCAGCAGAAGGTGCTGCCAGCACTGGGAGTGTGGAAAGGGACCGATTTCCAGAAACATTAGGTGTCCGCATACGAGGCAGCTGTCCTTGCTCATGCATACGTGGCTCTGTGTCCTGCTCGCATGCTGCTGCGTCGCTGTCTGTGCCTCAGGGTGGAGCTGCTCCCTTCTTCCCGTGCTCTCAGGCCAGGGGGCTGAGTGCCCTGCCGTCCAGCTCTGTTCCCTCTGCTCTCCTGACGTGGGTTTGGTAGAGAGGACTCAAGAGCTTTGGAAGCGGTGGGATGTGAGCGTAAAGGGCCTTAAGTCACGTTAATGGAATTTCAGAAAAACCTGACTCCTCCTTCAGCACATCTTCTTTTTAAACATTTTTTTTTTTAATGTTTTTATTCATTTCTAGGAGAGAGAGAGAGAGAGAGCGTGAGCAGGGGAGGGTCAGAGAGAGAGGGAGTCACAGACTGAAACAGGCTCCAGGCTCCGAGCTGGCAGTCAGCACAGAGCCCGACATGGGGCTCGAACCCACGAACCGCGAGATCATGACCTAAGCGAAAGTCGGACACTTAACTGACTAAGCCACCCAGGCGCCCCATCCTTCAGCACATCTTCTTATAAAGGAGAATGGTCCTGAGCGTGTGGACACCAGGTGGACGGGGTGGATGGCAAGCCACTGAGCCATGTGCTGTGGCCACGTGCCACCCCTCTTGCATGGCCAGGGGTGTGATCGGACCAGGATGAGGTCTGGAAGAGTCTGTGGGTGGGGGGCCCTCCACAGTGTCCAGCTGGCCCCTAGCTTGGGGTCCCACAGCTGGGCATGCTCAGGCTCACAGCGTGTGTTCCCCGGTTCCTTATCAGCCCATTTATTTATTTTGAGGGAGGGAGGGAGAGAGCGAGCGAGAGCGTGAGCGCTCACATGCCAAGTAGGGGAGGGACAGAGAGAGGAAGAGAGAGAATCACAAGCAGGCTCCATGCTGTCAGCTGAGAGCCTGACATGGGGCTCGATCCCACAGACTGTGAGATCATGACATGGACTGGAATCGAGTCGGATGCCCAACTGCCTGAGCCACCCAGGCGACCCTCTCAGCACCCTTTTTGAGGACTGCTGGGATGATGTAAGATTATACATTCTAGAAAGCAGTTTGGGATTTAAAGCAAAATCCTTGAAAAATATGAATTACCTCCCCCCAGCATGTTTCGTGCATCCATCTTGCTGGGGCACCTGGGCCTCAGTCGGTTAAGCATCCAACTCTTAACTTTGGACTCAGTTCATAGGATCAAGCCCCATGTTGGACAACTCAGAGCCTACTTGGGATTCTCTCTCTTTCTCTCTCTCTCTCTCAGAATAAGTAAACGTTTAAACTAAATAAGTACGTCTTGTCGCACTCATGCAGCAGAAGGGATACTTTTATTATGAACATTCCATGTTTGACGGAAAAGTGTGAATCGTGTATCAAATGAGGAAAGAAGGCTGTGACACAGTGTGGCATTCTTTCTGGAGAAGTGCAAAAAGCACTTTGTGGAAAGTAACGTGGGTGTTGGCGGGGTTTTGGCCAGGGCCGGTGTGTCGCCTGTGCCCTCAGAGCAGACGGAATCCATGTGCTTCAGGCTGAGGGGTTCCCTGCGCCGTGCGGGCCTGCCTCCTGGGGCCTGACGCCAGGCTCTCGACCGTTCGTTTGCTAGCTCGTCAGGACTGTGGCGCGCCAGCACGAGGAGAAGCAGCTCCGGGAGGAAAGGGGAAGGAGGGAAGAGCAGAACCGATTGAGACGCATCGCTGCCTCAACCGCTAGAGAAATAGAGTATTTTTGGTCAAATATTGAACAGGTAAATCCTAAAATTTAAATGAATTTTAAATGAACTCTAAAAACACAGACTGTGCCTTCTGAGCATGCCTGACCAAGTGCCCAGAAGCTTAGGCCGGGAGAGCCCGCGGCATCGCTGAGGAATGCGCGTGCGCGCACGGGCCCTGACCGCCGGCTCACGGTGCCTCCTCTGCTGGTGATCGTGCGGTGTGCTTCGTGGCGCTGCCGAGGGGCTTCTGGAGTGTCCGCTGGGGTGGGCGCCATCCCCGGAGGTGGTCCCACCTCGCTCTGCCACGGGCGGTGCTGGTCTCACTGGCAGCACGCGGCAGCGGAGCACCTGACCGGCCACACTGCGCACTTCGTGGTGAAGTGACCCTGGGTGGTCGGGATGTGCGCAGGCCTCCAGAGCCTCCAGCCTTGATGACGGCTTTGTTTCCCTCTTTTTCCCTCTTTGTGTTCAGGTCGTGGAGATAAAACTACAAGTAGAATTGGAGGAGAAAAGGAAAAAAGCCTTAAATTTGCAGAAAGTTCCCAGGAGAGGTAGGATTCTTTTTAAAAGCCTTTTCCGTATCCAGTGACTTTGCTGGGAGCCTGCTGGCCTGCTGCTGGCCGATGTGGCGGCGCCCGCGGTGCCTGCTCATCGGTCTGAGCACCTGCTCCGCCTGACACTGCACTTCTGCCTGCTGGCTGGTCTGCAGTGTGAGTCAGCACCCCCAGGCTGATCAGCTTTTAGGGACTGAGGTTCTGAGCCAGTCCTGAGGCCTGTCTGGACACCGGGATGAACTCCCCAAGGCGTTTGCGCCTTGTGGGGCCTCTCTGTGGTTGGTGGGGGGGTCTCCGCCCTGCTCTGAAGCAGCTGCGCCGTCGTTGGACACTGTGATGCATGCCGGTCCCTGGCAGAAGCAGCTGTCTGGGGGGTGGGGTGGGGGGTGGGGACGGGCACAGATGGCGTGATGGCCCTTATTCTGTTGATGAGGAGATAGAGGTAGAGCGATGGTCTCTGCTCAAAGTCCTACAGCCACTAAGATGGTAGAAATCCTCGAGCGCGGGCTTTGCCGCCCTGCCCCCATGTGCCCCTCCAGATCAGAGGTGTCCAGAGAGCGGCCAGCGCATTTCATAGGTACAGGGGTGCGGGCTGGTTCCCAGAAGAAAGGAGGGGAAACTCACTCTAGCTGTCTTCCTCCCGTGAGGAGGTATCAGTGGGGTGTGGCCTGCACAGGCAGCGTCAGTGAACGTGAATACTGTTCCCTGTCTCTAGGAAAAGAGTCAAGACCTAAGGGGCTTGACGTGTTGCCAGAAGCTTTCCTGGTAAGTCGAGAACGGCGCCGTCCGGGGTCAGGGTGTGGAGGCTGTGTGGCTAAGGCACAGTGCTCGTGATTCCTCCTTATGGCTGGAGAAATGTGTACATGTCCGTAGCGTTCCCTGCTGTTCCAGAGTCAGTTTACTTCGGGGAACAAAACTGGTCTTCTCATTGTTAGGCTCCCATGGGGTGTTGATCTGTGGACACGGGGAGACGTGGGGACTGTGGATTCAATGTCACCTGCCCGCTGCCCGCAGTGGAGGCCAGCCTGTGTGTTCTGGGTGTGCCAGGGCCTTCCTGTAGCATGCGAAACAGATGTTTCTGCTTCGGTTTCCCATTCTTTGCGAATTTTATTCTGTTTCAGGAGTCGGGACTGTATGGAAGGAAAAGAAAAGCTAGCACGTCGCTGACTGATGACGAAGGTCTGTTCCCTGGTACTCTCTTCGCTGTCTGGGGCGAGCCCTCAGACTAGGCCAAGGGCGCCCTCAGTGCTGTCAGGGAGCCAGGTGGCACAGGGGGCCAGGTGACTCGGAGATGGGGGTGGGGTGGGGAACATGGAGGAGGGAGAGCACCGGACTGCTTATGGACATTTTGTTTGCATGGAGGAGCCAGCTGGGAAGGGCGGAGGCTGGTGGCAAGGCCCCAGGGGACTTATGTGCAGATGAGGGGTGGGCCCGCAGCCACCGAGAGCCGGCCTCTGTTGGGGGTGAGATGTGGGGTTCATAGGACAGGAGCTGAGCTGAGGGAGAGGCATGCTGGGCAGTGGCTGACTGTCATCTGAAACGGGTGATGACAGATTTGTAGTGACCCCGAACAGCATGCTGGCGGGTTCCTCTGTGGCGGGGTCAGCCGGCAGATGAAAAGTCTGACATCACTCCGTGTGTTGCTGGAGTAGGTCTGCTGTGTAGTGAAGTAGGTTGTTTCACACCCTGTGGAGGGAGAAGAAGTGCAGTCCCTGGTTTCCTGCTCACTTAGTAAACCTGCGTTTCCGAAATCAGACGAGCAAAAAGGCTCAGTTCTCCCCTGGCTGTGCGAGACCGGGTCGGAGCCTAGTAGCGTCTCCGGGGCAGGTGAGGGGACGCGGCGAGGTCTGTCCCCCTGACCTCTGGTGCTGACCGTTGCAGTGGAGGACGAGGAGGAGACCATAGAAGAGGAAGAAGCCAACGAAGGAGCCGTGGACCACCAGGCAGAGCTGTCCAATTTAGCCAAAGAAGGTAGGCCGCACACGTTGCACTCCAGGTGCTCTGTACAGAACGTGAAAAATTCCCGACAGCCCCCCCCGGGAAACACGGTGGGGGCCGGCGTGGGGGGCCGCACAGGCCACAGGAGACCGAGCAGGTGCCTGTGAGCGGCCGCGGCCCCGCTCGCCCTGTCGCCTGCGTACAGCAGCGGGTTCGCACGCGTGAGCTGTGTGGAAACGGCGTCGCCCGCTGGGCCTGCTGCTTGTCCCTTGGCTCTTCTGTTCCCAGGCCCGTCCGGTGCTTGGCTGTCACTTAGGCCTCACGGGCTCTCCCTGCCCAGCCGAGGTCTGGGCGGGAACGTGCCGCTGACTCTCTCCTGCGCGGCTGCTGGGCACTGGGGTGTCCCCGTACCGCGTCTGCACGCTGCGGGAGCGCCCCGTGGCCTGCGCGCCCAGGAGGGGGGTCGACTGGTGCGCACCACGGTCCGCCATGCGGGGCCAGCTGGGCGTGGGCTGGCAGGTTCCTTCTAAGCCTCTCGGGTCAGAGCGCTGGGCGCTGTCCCCCTAGGACGCTTCTGCTGAGCTGGTGGGCGAGGGGCGACATTTCCGTGGCCTGTGGGCGGCGAGCTGCGGCATCTCTCTGGGGTCTCCTCGTTTCCGTTTTGGTTTTGGGCTTCTCGATGTTCTCTCGTGGGTGCTTGTGTGTGGTGCATGTGTGCCTGTGTGGTGGTCACTGTGCTGTGGGCACCTCCCCTCGTCGGGTGTGCTCATTCTCCTTGCGGGACCTTCTGAAGAACAGGCGGTTTAAATTTTAGCACAGTTGAATTTATCTGCTTTAAAAAAAATTTTTTTAAATGTTTTATTTTGAGAGAGACAGAGACAGAGGGTGAGAAGTGGAGGGAGAGAGACATAGAATCTGAAACAGGCTCCAGGCTCCGAGCTGTCAGCACAGAGCCTGATGCGGGGCCCAAACTCACAAACAGCAAGATCATGACCTGAGCCAAAGTCAGACGCTTAACTGACTGAGCCATCCAGGCGCCCCAGCCTTAGAATTCATCTGCTTTAAAAAGCCCTTTTTAAATCTCAGGATCATGAGGTCTCCTTGTTTGTCTACAAAATTTAGAATTTTACTCACATATCTGTGTCTTAGATCTGTCAAGAATAGCTTTTGCCTGTTGTGTAAGGAGTGTAGTTTCTTCTTTTTTTTTTTTTAATCCCAAAATGGATCACAGCTGTCCTGGCGCCCTTTGCCAAGCTGGTCCTTGCCAGCTGGTTGTCTGCTCAGCCCTCCCTTGCTGCTGCTCCCATCTGTCTGGCCCAGTGCATGCCCTGAGAACTAGCCCTGTGCCCCTCCCTGCCCTGTGCCCGCCCTGAGAACCAGCGCCCCCCCCGCCCCTCCGCCCCGCCATGGCCCTGTGCCAGCCCCAAGAGCCATCTGGGGCTCTGTTTCTTCACTCTTTTCAGGGTGCTCTCGGCCATCTTGGGCAGGTTTCATGTCCACCTCCAGTCAGCTGATCAGGTTTCAGAGGAAAATCCATTGGGAATTTTGATCTGAATGTCGTTGAGTTGGCGGGTGACGTCAGAGCTCTGTATCCTTATGAAGCTGAGTGCTTCTAAGCTCTGATCGCAGTGCACCTGTCCATTCACGTAGATCTTTTTCAGGAGCTGCCCGGAGCGTTTTATGATGTCGTGTTTTTTGTTAGGTTTATTTTTAGGTGTCTTACCATTTTTGAAGTTGCAGTGAGGAGTGTGTGTGTGTTGGCATTGGAGATGGGGGGGAGGGGTGCTGCCCCGCGATGGACGTGAAGTGCAGCTGCCCCACCGCGGTCACGCTCACTCCATGGGGCAGTCCCTCCTCTGAGCGGCCGCTCTCCCCTGAGAGCCCCGGCCTCATCGTCGTTCCTCTCGCAGTGGCGCACACAGTTAGCGGGGCCGGGCGCCCGGGCACACTTGTGGTCCCCAGTGGCCGTGGCTTGCTCACGCACACAGGCGCTCTGGGTCTTCTGGCCGTCTCCCGGGCCCCCTTCCCGCATCCTTGCCGCCTTGACTTTCCGAGCGGGATGCGACGGCGGCTCGGGGCCCACGTCGGCACCCTGTGTGGTGCGTCCGCCAGGGTGCGTGGGTCCCGGGAGCTGGTGTGGCCACGAGGGTTGGGGGTCCTTTAGGGTGAGCTCTTTGTGTGGGAGGTGTCACCGCTGTTGGATGCGCCAGGTAAGACGGTGTTTTGCTTTATTTTTGTTGGACTTTTATTTGATGTTTCATAATTTTATTTATTTCCAATTACTTTCTTTCAGTGTTTTTATAGTTATGCTTGTTGGCTTATAGGTTCTACTGTTTATTGTTCTAGAAATTTAAAAATTCTTTTATGAGTAAAAATTGAGTTTCTTAATTTCATTTTAAAGATTCTCATTTTTGTAAAGAAAAGTGTCTTAGAGCTCTTATCAGTAATGGGTGACAGTTACTTTTTGGAAATTATTAATGTGTTTTTAGAAAATATATATTTTTTCCAAGGAATTAAAGCCAAGAAAGGGAGGATGTGTGAAGGAGGCCCTTCCTGCTCAGCTTGGCCCTCTGCTGCCCTTCTTCCCTCCCGCCCGCCGCCCTCCCGTGTAAACTAACCCCCTTCTCCCCGCAATCTTTCCAGCCGAATTGCCCTTAATCGACTTGATGAAGTTGTATGAAGGCGCTTTTCTCCCCAGTTTCCAGTGGCCGCAGCCTAAGCCTGACAGTGCGGAGGCGAGTGAGGAAGAAGGTCTGTGTTCACAACTTTAACGAACTGAGCCTGAAAGCAGAAGCAAAAATATGTCAGGGTTTGAGTTACCTTCATTTCCTTTTAGTCAGATGGAAGAAAAAGTTGCGTGTTTAATGTGTAATCATGTATCGATGTGGTTTTATTAAACTTTATGCTTTATTTAACATTTGTCTTGGGGGGAGGGGCGAGCTGGGGAGGAGCAGAGAGAGACGGAGGGAGAGAGGATCCCAAGCAGGCTCTTCACTGGCAGCACAGAGCCTGACACAGGGCTCAGTACCACCAACCATGAGATCATGACCTGAGCTGAAATCAAGAGTCAGACGCTTGACTGACTGAGCCACCCACGCACCACTAATTTTATTAACTTGGCAAAATTTCAGAATACTCGACCAAGTCGTGAACAGCATAGAATTATTTTTTTCCAGATTCATAAAAGTCATTGTTTTATAGACGGATTTTCACACATAACGTTCAGCTTATGCTGTGTTTGTTTAACACGCTAGTTTGGAGTTTCTTTTATTTCTGTTAGACACTTCAAACAAATACACAGGCTGCACCAAAAAAAGGTCTACTTTTCCTTATTTTCATTCTACTTGTTCTGATCCTTAGACAAGACTCCTGTGAGCAGAGAGGTTAGGGAGGAGTGTCAGGGCCAGAGGATGGGCCGGTGGCCTCTCTGCTGAGTTTCCTCTTCCTGGTTGTGGGGGGATCCCTAAGCCCTTAGATGCCCATAAATCTGGTGACACCAGCTCCTAATCGCCATGGAGACGTTCTCTGTTTTCACGCGAGGGCTTTCCAGAGTGGTCCTACCTTTGGTAATGTTACAGGAGTTTGTATTCATTTATTTGGTTAGTGTTGTTAGGTGTGTAAAGCAGATTAAAAACAAAACATTACTGCGTTTGGAAGTATTTGGATTGTGTCAGTCTGTTCCCTTTTTATTCTTCTGTCAATGATAAGTAGGCTCACAAAACTCTTGCAGCTGTTACTAACCTGTTTTTCTGTTGTTCACAGATGTGGAAGACTGCCCGGGTGAGAGCCGGAAGGACGTGGTTCTCATAGACTCACTGTTCATCATGGACCAGTTCAAAGCTGCAGAGAGAATGACTATTGGGAACCCTCACACAAAGGACATCGCGGAGGTGACCGCTGTGGCTGAAGCTGTTCTGCCCAAAGGCAGTGCCCGGGTCAGCCCCACGGTGAGGCACCAGGCTGCCATGTGAGGGGCCACGTCTTTGGGAGGCCAAGAAAAGGCTTTCGACTTCCCCATAACTCTGTTGCAGCCGCAAAAGTTTCAGGCAGAGTGAACACTGGTCTTGTTTCTCCAGATCTTTTCTGTGGTCCTCCAGTGGGTTCTCCGTATGACTGATTTGACTTCATTGCAGAGAAAAATGTCTAACGGTTATTTTGAGGTGTGTGTATTTGGCCCGTATGTTGCTGCAGGTGAAGCTGAATGCCCCGTCTCTGTTGTATGGCGTGCTCCGAGATTACCAGAAAATCGGTCTGGACTGGCTGGCCAAGCTCTACCGGAAGAACCTCAATGGCATATTGGCAGACGAAGCTGGGCTTGGTAAAACTGTACAGATCATTGCTTTCTTTGCCCACCTGGCTTGCAATGAAGGTAAGAGTTTGTTTTGAGAAGTTCATATTCTCCACTGACCGTGGGCAGTGCATCGGGCCTCAGGGTGGGGCGTGGCCTGCCTTCCCTGCTCCTTTGCCCTGTGCTCCAGTCCAGGACCCAGGAGAACAGGGCTCAGAAATACTTGTCGGAACAAGCAGAAAACTTGCTCGTGGTTTGCACTAGATTGAGCAACTCACTGGTGCTCAAAATCTGACACGGTGATGACCCACTGGACTGTGTGACCCGGTGTCCCCAGCCAGCCACGACCTGTGTATATTGGAGTGCTTGCCGTGGGCCAGCCTTCCCTCTGCCACAGTGCCTGCATCCCTGCCTCCTGCCCAGGCTCGCTGCCCTCAGGGAGCAGCTCTCACAGCCTTGCGAAGGCTCGGCAGCCAGACCGCAGCGGAGACGCCCCCCCCCCCCCACCCCAGCTGCTTCCTTGTGCCTGACTCTTCGGACTCACACGTCATCAGGCAGGCCCCTCGGCCTTTGGAGAGACACGTTCAGGGACCGGCCCCCACTCACTGCCCTCCACCCGGCCTGTGGGTCAGGTGCTAGTCTTGTCCCCTGCTCTGTGCCTTTGGGGGCTGTAGAAGGGCATGTGGTGTCTCTAACATAGGATAGGGGCTTATATACAAGTGACCTTTGAACAGACAACGTGGTGGTCATAGGCACTGCCCCCCCCCCCCATGCAGACAAAAATCTGCACATAACTTTGACTTCCCTAAAACTTCACTGATGAGCGTTAGCGATTGATTGGGAGTTGAACCGATAGTATGAGCAGGCGACTGACACACATTTCGCGCATGTGTTATGTAGCGTGTTTTTAGATAAAGTGAGCTGGGGAAAGAAAATGTCAAGGAGAACATCAGGAAGAGAAAACAAAGTATCGTGTGTGTTGAGAACGACCTGTGTGTGAATCCAGGAGCCAGTGTGGTTCACACTTGTGGTGTTCCCGGGTCGGCCGTGGTGTTTCCCTCGCAAAGGAAGGATTCCAGATCCAGACTAAGTGGCTCCTGGGGAGCAGGGCAGACACGTCTTCTTCCTCTTCAGGGGCCTTCAGGAGGCAGGAGGAGGCTCATTAAATGAGGGAGGTGGTGTCCTGCCACGGGGTCATGGAGACCTGAGGGGAGCGAGTATGGAGAGAGGTTGTTCCCTCCCCCTGGGGCCAGCCCCCCCCCCCCCCGCCTTCAGCGTGCTCCCCTTGCCACTGCGCACATACACCTCCTCTTGCCCTATGTTTGTGAAGCTTGATCCAGCGCAGTTAGGCTTTAAATACAAATGGATTGAAGTCAGGGCTCCTTACTTCCTGGTGTTAATCGGTTCTGGCTTTTACCCCAGTGCTAGAGGCTTCAGCTTTCAATAGGTTCTGACAGATGGTGGCCCCTCAGGACGACACGCTGCCTCAGTCTCCTGTCGTGAGGCAGAAGGAGCACTGGTTACTGTATTTGTAGTCATGAGAGACTGGAAGCAGGCAGCACTTGCAATCATGGGGGCTTTTGTTGCATCGGTTGAATGAATGAATGAGCTGGTGCTTCATTCTCTCGGTACTCGCGTGGCGCCTGTGCCGCATGTGAGGGGCAGCAGTGAGCAGAGCGGGAGGCCCACCCCAGGTGCCCGCTTGAGTCTGAAGTAAGGCTCCTGCCGAAAACCAGAAGCGTAACCACATTCGGAATGTGGGTCTTTAAAAACTCTTGGTTCTCCTGGTGGGGGAAGGGCACTCGGGGCAGAGCACGTACCTGCTGGGCGCGGGTGTGCGCCTGCCCGGGGTGGAGTGCGCCTGGCACAGAGCTGTTGTCCACCTGCGGGATTTCTTCGTGAAGTGTTTATTTCATTCTTGTTCCTCTTCCTCTTGGGCGCTGCTTCTCTCGGAACTGGAGGGGACGCTGTATGCCGGGCCAGTGCTGGCCGCAGATGTGCGTACTGCGTGGCATTTCCCCAAGTCTACTGTTTTCGCCTTCTGACCTGGTTTACGTTCCATTTATAGCACAGAAGTTGGCGTTCGTTATGTGCGTATTATTCTAATACTTGAAAACCTCGTTCGGAGGACCGAGATAGAAATGGAGGATTTGGGGTGGTCCGGTGGCCAGGTCCCACGCTCCCTTGTGTCCTGAGCAGGGTCCCTGTACAGGAGAGCTCTGCCCAGTGTCCACAGTGCGCTTACTCTACCCGGTTCTCCTTTGGCAGCTTCCGGAGTCCCTCCAGTCTAGGGGCACCTGCTGCATGCTGTGAGGATGCCTGGGCGTCACGCCCAGGGACTTTGTGTAACATGCCTGCCACGCTTTCCCACTTGGCACCAGGTGGGGCTTTTTGTCACGCAGGAAGGTTTTGTTTCTTCTCTCCCATATAGGCAATTGGGGCCCGCATCTCGTGGTGGTGAGAGGCTGCAGCATCCTTAAGTGGGAGCTCGAGCTGAAGCGCTGGTGTCCCGGGCTCAAGACCCTGTTGTACGTGGGCAGCCACAGAGAGCTGAGAGCAAAGAGACAGGTAGGTGGGTGTACGCGTGGGATCGCATCACACAGGATGCTCTGGGTCTATGGAAGGGCCAATTCTGGAGTGTCAGGCGAGCCTTCCCGTGGTTCCTGATTTGGAACCCCCTGAATGTACAGACACCCCGTGAGAAAAGCCCCCGCGCAAACGGCACCCCTGTGCCCAGCATCAGGGGCCATCCCTTCGCTGCCTCCTGCAGAGCCCTGAGCAGCACAAGGCCGGTGAGAGCTCGTGCCATGTGCACCCTGAGTCATGTGCAGTGAACACTCGCTGGGGCTCTGTTGACACACAGGCCAGCTCCCGGGACGCCCGCCCCGTGCCGTGTAGCACTGGATCCTGAGTGAAAGTGTACAAGGCGACACTGCTTTTCACTGAAGCTAACGCTTTGCTTCCTCGTTAGACTGTGGTGTTGAGTAGTAGTGCTCACTGGAAAAGGGAGTGCTCGGGGACATGTTCTCTTACCGTCTGGTCGTTAGCTTGTTTTTAAAAAGCCTGTGATGCAGTTGGTTGCGGCGTGGATGTCCTAGTGCGTTGCGTGCGGTGTCCCCGCAGATGATGTAAAAGTGGTTCTCTCCGTGGTTCTTCGTGGTGACCTTTCCTCTGGGACCAGTTTAGTGCCTCACGGCATCTTTAAGGGCGTCTGTGGCACCTTAGCTCTCAGAGCAAGAGGTCGTGAGGCTGGGCCCGGCCACGCTGTGGGCGCTGGCGGCAGGCGGTCCGGAGGACCAGGGTCGTGGGATGGGGCGCTGGGCCGTGTGCCCGCAGGGGAGACGTGTGCTTGAAGCCGGGCTTCTGTGCTGCAGGAGTGGATGGAGCCGAACAGCTTCAACGTGTGTGTCGCACCCTACAAGCAGTTCTTCAGAGGCTGCGCGTCCTTCTCGCGTGTGCGGTGGAGGTGCCTCGTCATCGACGAGATGCAGCGGGTCAAGGGCATGACCGAGAGGCACTGGGAGGCCGTGTTCACTCTGAAGAGGTCAGACCCTCTCCTGCCCCAAGGGTTCTGGTTGGGTGACATAGAGCACGCGGGTGGTCGCAGATGCAGACTTGCCCGTTGGCCGCGCGGGGTTCCCTTCCCCTTGGTGGGTGAGTGTGGCCGCGGGTCCCAGGGTGCGTGCGCATACCCGAGCTCCAGGACACCACCGTGCCTTTCCTTTTGCGACCTCGGGGGCAGTGAGCCAGCTTCCCAGGTGAGGGCTCAGCCGTGGCCTCTCCTCACAGCCAGCAGCGCCTGCTCCTGATGGACGCGCCGCCGCACAACACCTTCCTGGAGCTGTGGACCATGGTGCACTTCCTCATCCCCGGCATCTCCAGGCCTTACCTGCACCCGCCGCTCAAGGCCCCGAACGAGGAGAACCAGGACTACTACCACAAAGTGGTCATCCGCCTGCACCGGGTGCGCGTGGGCCGCGGTGCCGGGCGCGTGGGGGTGCGGCCGTGTCGTCTCGGGAGGGAGGCGACGGGCGCTCTCGTGTCTTTTCCAGGTGACCCAGCCCTTCATCCTGAGGCGGACCAAGAGGGACGTGGAGAAGCAGCTGACAAGGAAGTACGAGCACGTGCTCAAGTGCCGGCTGTCGAGCCGGCAGAAGGCCCTGTACGAGGACGTGATCCTGCAGCCCGGGTGAGCGGGCCCCTGACCGTGGGGGGCGTGGCCTCTGCCCCGTGCCCGCCCTGCTCCCCGTTCACAGGCGAGGCCCGCGTGGGTGGCACGCTCCGACGAAGCAGCTCGGTGTGTGACGGCCCGAGGGGTGGCTCGCCCCCTCCTGCGCCGTGGGGAACAAGTGGTGACCGGGACGCCGCCCCGAGGCTGCAGCGCGGGTCTCGGTGGGACTCAGGTGGCCCTTCCTCGCACCGCTGGGCCAGCGGGGCACGGTTTCCTCTTGAGACCGTTGTGCGCGCCACGTCCTCATGTTTACAGAGCTATCAGGCATGCAGTGAGCCTTCAAGAGATGGCCCTGCCCTTCCTGCCTGTTTGTCCTGCTTAGTTCTGGAAAGTTTTAAGCCAGAACGTAAGCGTGAGTTCTTGCTGCCTGGCACAACATCCTAGTCCCTGACAGGTGGCATCAGTGATGCCGCGGTCAGGTGAGCGTCCAGGGGAGAAGAGGAGCCGTGGAGTCGTGCCCCGGCCGTGCCTCAGTGACCGGCCACGTCCCTCCAAGTCAGGCAGCTCCTTCCTCCGGGTGCTGACTTTGGGTTACAAAGAGCAGGGTCCGTGGAGGGCGTTGGCGTGCCCGCCGCGGGAGGCCGGTCCTCATCTGTCCTTTGCCAGGAGCAGACGGCGCCCTCAGGACGTCTGGGCCGTGGGCGTGCTGGGCTTGCCCTGGTGGGGGATGTTGGTCCTGCCTGCGGACGTGGGACTCTGGCGACCACAGACCTGGGCCGTTGTGTGGCTTCTGTTCCTCGTGGAGCAGCAGGAAGCGATGGTTCCTTTTCACCCTGTGCACCTCTTTTTCTGTTTCCCTAAATCTGTCAAGTCGAAAAGGAGGTGCTGAGCGCACGTGTGGCTGACTCCACTTTAGTGCCCGATAACCAGCACAGTGTGCTCGCTGCACGTTGATGTGATCATCTGGGGTCCTCGAGTGGGCTCTGAGCTTCGCTTTGTTCACTCTGTGGCAGGCCACGTGTGTCCCTGCTGTCTTCCGGCGCGCCCTCTCCTCGGCACACCTCATGTCCCCTTTCCTGGGAGCCCGGCACACCTGCCCGTGTCCGCCTCTTCCGCTCCGGGGGCTTGTTTCTGGGGTCCTGGGCCTCGCTTGTGCTTCAGCCTTTTTTTCTGAGATGTGTCCTTCATAGCAGCCCTGTGCAGATAGGGGGCACTTTCCACACCCTCCTTCCCACCCGCCTCTGCTCTACGGAGCCTGGCATACAGACTGTGTGCCTGTCTCCGCCCTGCGTGGCCATGGCCGAGAACGGCCTGTGTGGGGCTCTGCTGACTGCCGGCACAGCGCGCCTGCTGGCCGTGTTCTCCTGCCGCTGCTTCGGTTGTCCCTTGAGTGCCACAGAATTGGTCTCGTGAGGGCGTCCCCAGAGCACCTTTTCTGTAGACTTTCCTGTTCTCAGACCCAGTAGCCCATCACCCTGACGCTCCTTTGGAAGCCTGGCGTCCTCACTGCCACCCGCCCCTCTGTTCCGCTGCCTCTGCTCCTGGGTCTCTGAGGACCAGCCCACCCTCCCTCCCCCACGGCTTCTCCCCACCCTGGAGGTCTTCAGCTGCCGTGGTTCCTGCGTTCGCCTGTGTGTCTGCCTTCTCCGTGGCTGCAGGGCTGGTGCCGGCATCCCCTTGGGGGTCCCTCCTCTCCTGGGTCAGGTGCTCTCACCCTGGTGCCCACCTTTTCTTCATGGCACTCAGAATGGAAATGCATCACTGCTGCCCGTTTAGAGTGTCGCCTCCCCTGGGAGAGGTGGCTTGGAGAGCTGCTCGCCCCTCCTACCCTCACTGCTGGCGCTCTGGCCTCCTGGCGGGTTTTGAGAGAGCAGTAAGTGGGTCTGAGAGTCATAACCGCCTGGAGGCCAGTTCGGAGCTGAGGCACTATTAGCCAGGCGTGGTGAGAACGCGTGGGTGCAGTCCGCACGGGCATGGCGCACACACCAACGGCTGTGCTGCTGTTTTCCCCGAGAGCAGAACGCAGGAAGCGCTGAAGAGCGGGCACTTCGTGGACGTGCTGAGCATCCTGCTGAGGCTGCAGCGCATCTGCAACCACCCTGGGCTGGTGGAGCCGCGGCTCCCGGAGTCCTCCTACACGGCAGGGCCCCTGCAGTACCGCTCCGCCTCCCTCATTCTCCAGGCGCTTGACGGAGACTCCTGGAAGGTACGTGTCCTCTTGACATCTGTGGCAGACACCCTTTGGGCCGCGCCGGGTTTGCAAGGTGCTTCTCCCTGCCCTCGGCCGGAGAGGGACAAGCCCGAGTCTGACAGCTGCGGGGGGCGGGGGGGGGGGGTTCCTCGCACCACATGTTGGGCTGTTTGAGGGGAGCTCGGGGAGTTACTGCAGGTACCTATTGGGGACGCACGCAGGCAGCTCCTAGGCAAGCGCCCATTACAGGCCATCTCAGGCCTTGGGTGAGGTCTTGCTCCTGCGTTGTGCGTGTGTTTACAGGGCCCTGGTGTTCTCCGCACAGCCCCCACCCCACACGCTGGCTGGGGGGCTTTGGGCTGAGTCCCCCTTGGTGGGACAGGCATAGTCAAGCACTTCCTGCACCATGTGTGGAATCCATGGGAAGAGCCTGATGGTGTGCCTGGCGTCCCAAGCTTGGTGTTGGCCACGTTCTGTTTTCCCTCCCTTGTTCAGCGAGCACTGAGCTCTGCTAGGTGCCAGGCACTTTTCAGGTCACTGAACAGCCGTGACCAAGACTCCAGTACCCCATCCGCCCCCATCTTTTGTGTTTGTGGCTGGCTCACTTCATCAGGCATCGTGCTTTTAGTTCATCCGTCTTGGGGCACATGTCAGAATTTCCTTCACACTCAAGGCTGAATGGTATTCCCTCTCAGGTGGGTCGCAGCCCGTTCACCTGGTCGTCCGTTAAGGGGCACTTAGCTTACCTCCACGGTTTGCCCGCTGTGAATCGTGTTGCTGTGGACGCTCACAGGCCAGCTTTGTGTGAGCACGGATTTCGTGTGTCTCGGGCACACATCTAGGTGTGCAGTTGTGGGGCCACGTGCCTATTCCACATTTAACCCTTTGAGGGGTGGCCAGGCGGTTGGCACGTCCTCTCTGCGCGTGCGAGGGTGCGGGGGACTCTCCAGCACCTGCTGTCCGTCCCCCTTGTCAACATGGTGATGGGCACAAGGCGTGCTTCCTCATTAGAGCACACGTGGGGGGTCTGCCCCAGCTGGAGACTCAGGCTGCGCTCCCGCCTGCGTGATGCGTGTCTCCAGGGCTCTGGGCCGAGTGATGGGGCATGCGCCCGCCTCTGCTTCCTCAGTACATGGGGCTCTCTCCCCCCAGATTCCCCTTGTTGATGAGTGTTGGCACTCACACTGTCCAGACTCTCTCTCTTCTTCTTTTCCTCTCTTCTGCTGAGTCCGTTCTGTCCCTCAGCACTGCCTTCTCTGTTCCTACTGTCATTGAGATGGTCTTGACTGGGAAACTGAGGCATGCTGTGGTCCAGCAGCCTGCTGAGCCCTCGAATGGCTTCGGGGAGCCTTCCGGGGAGTGTGGCTGACCAGGACCCGGCTGTCCTGTTTGGGATGTGCTTGGGTTTCCATTTTCTCCTGCTTCATGGAGTAAAACTCTTCCCTTTCTCTTTCTAGGAAGCAGATCTCTCTATGTTTGATCTTATCGGCCTGGAGAATAAAATGACTCGTCACGAGGCAGAACTGCTGTGTAAGAAGAAGGTGACGCGGAAAGTCATGGAGGAGCTGCTCACTGCGCCGCTCCCGTCGGTCAGACCCACGGCGCTGAGACTGAAGCCCAGCAGGTGCGTGGCACGGAGCCTGGCCTCCTCCCCGAGGCGACCGGTTGGGTCCTGGGGGGCCCTCGGTCAGCCGTAGGGTTGGTGACATCCCCCGTCCTGGTAGGGCCCAGCCCCCTCACTCCTTAGGGTGGGTGGTGTGAGTTTACACCAGGACCCACACCCACATGTGGCAATGGGGAAGAAGCATGACCCTCTTACTGGGCCACCTGCCTCTGGAAGCTGGCCTAGTGTCCTTGGTGTCTGTGGGGGTGGCTCGTTGCACATGGCACATGTGGGCAGTCTGTGGCTGGTCCCTGGGGAGGTCGGACGGGGCAGCCCTACGCCAGCACTGTGGTGTCGGGGGGGGCTGTGGGGAGGAGGGGAGGAGGCCGGGGGGCGGGGGGCGAGGGTCAGGCTGGGTCTGTCCAGTGCGTGGCTGGGGGTGGGGGGACCCGGGTCTGGGCAGAGGGCTCCGGCCCTGACCTTGACACAAGGACCTCTGAAGGACATCCGAGCTGATTTTGCAGGTGCCACATGGCTGGGAGGGCAGAACACGTTAGATGAGGAAGTAGAAGCAAGTGGTTCAACGCAGGTTAAATCTAGCAAGTTGGAAATACGCAAAATCGCGTGCTTGCGCTGCAGACGAGAAAGAAGCAAGAAAACAGGGAACTTAGGGAGAAAGGGGCCAGTTCTGCAAATTGGCACCTATTCTCATTGCCTGTGGTGCACCTGCCTTGCCCGGGGACTCAGAGCCCACCACCGTCTGCCACCCTCCCTTAAACACATGGCGGACCAGCACAGCTGCCGGTCTCAGGGCCACCCTGGCTTCATGTCGTGGCTCTCTCCTGGCTGCCTCTCACTGCGGCCTCTCGCTGCGGCGTTGCACAGGGCTTGAAAATCTAGATTTCCCGCTGTTACAGTTTTTCAGGTAAAAGGAACATAAAAGCATGTCTCGTGCAGTCGCCGCGGGCGTGGTCCCCTGTTGTGGTTTTATCCCGTCGCCTTCAGGGCGCCTGTACTGCTTCCACTGTGACCTGTGCTGCCTTGTCACCTGACTATTGGAGGTGGCTCCCCCCGGCCCCCGCTCTGTGCACACCCTGAGCAATAGTATCGTGGCCTCTGAACGTTAGATGTGCACATTCACCCTGTGTCCCGTGACCTTAGGGAAGATGGTGCCACTTTGTGTCCTGAGGGTGGTTGACACCTCCCCATGCCTGTGCTGAGCTCGCTCCAGCTGCCCCGGGTGTGGGCCTGTCGTCATCTTGGGGGCTTGGGGGGCCCCTCCGCGTCTCAGCGGCACAAATGCCTTCTCGCCAGGTTGTTTCAGCCCGTGCAGTACGGCCAGAAGCCCGAGGGTCGCACTGTGGCTTTCCCCAGCGTGCACCCGCCCCGGACAGCGGCTTCCGCCGCAGCCACCGCCACTCCTCAGGGCCACGTGCGAGGACGGCCACCGATCGCTACGTTCTCTGCAAATCCAGATGCGAAAGGTAGGCCTCGCATGCTGGCGCGCCCTCCGTGAGACCGTGGGTCTCTGTGGATGCAGTTCCTCGGCCTCCCTGGCCCCCTCCGGACGGGCGGCCGTGGCTCTGGACTGGAACCCGGCTCTGCCGAAGACCTGCGTAGCTCGCCTGTGACTTTCAGGCTCTTTGGTTTGTTGAAACTGGGAGTTTTCCCCCCTGAGCAAGACATCACGGTCTTGGTTGAGTCGCTGTGGGCGTGCTGACACACAGGTGCCCTGGAGAAGGCTCTCGTCTGCGTGAGGAAGCGCGGGTGCAGGGTTGTGCGCCACACCTCGGCAAGGCCGCTCACGCTCAGAGCCACTGCTTCTGTGGCCCGACTGTCACTCTAAAGAAGGGGAGGGTCGGCCAGCGGGAGGTGACTGTCGGTGTCACAGCCGTCGTCACGTGATCTTCAGCGTCCGGCCGGGGCTCAAGGGTGCACTCGTGCGGGGGGGGGAGATGGGGGCGGGGGGCGGGGCTCCTGTGGCACCCTGTGTCCCGTGGCAGCGGACCTCGGCAGGCAGCGCACAGCGGACACCGAGTTAGGTTTCTCTCCCCCTGTAGGCCGCACCCCGCCCTCTCTTCAGGGAGGGCTTCTCCCTCCAGAGACGGTAGGAGATGTTTGCTCCTCTGAGATTCGGGTTTAAAACATTGCATTTCATGAAGAGCATCTAACGGCTTTGCACAAACCAACCTTATCGATTGCAGCGGCCGCAGCCCCGTTTCAGAGCTCCCAGGCCTCCGCCGGCGCGCCGAGACCGCCCGCCTCGACCTGCAGCGCAGCACCTAGCGCCGCCCATCCTGCGAAACCGCGGGCCCCGCCCCCGCCCCCGCCCCAGGCCCCCCCGCACCCGGCTGGGCAGAGCGCCCTGCCTCCGGGGCTGGTGCTCACCTCGCAGGCCCAGGCGCGCCTGCCCAGTAAGTGGCCTCGCCCTCCCCCCCACCCTCACCCGCCACGTCCGCTCAGCGTGTGTCAGGAGCCTTGCTATCCCTTCTGTCTCCCCAACCCCCACGCGCTGCCTCTCTTGCCAAGCTGTCGTTTCTGGCCCTGAGTGTGCGGGGCCTGTGTCCAGGGCCCCAGGCCTCCTCTGTCCTCTCCCCCGGGCCCCCCCCCCCCCCCGCCCCCCCCCCCCCCGCCCCGGGCGTCGGCTCTGCTTTCCTCCCGCGCATGCTCTGCTGCTGTGCCGGTGGCCCTGCTCCCGCTCAGCGCTAGCTGGGGGCTCTGCCCAGGGAGCAAGTGGCACTAGAGCGAGAGCACGGAGGGCACTGGTGTCGGTTGCTGAAAACCAGACCGGTTTTGCTCTTGCCTGATGTCTCGTTGAAGCCTGGCATGAGTTACTGCTCAGCTGAGACATTGTGTAACGATTTGGTGATTAGAACATCACCATATTATTTAATCTCCTTCGAACTTTTTATCGTGACCGACGTCGTTAGCCTATTCCCAGATCTCGCACGTGCCCCTGCTCGTTCTGTGGGATGTGCCCTTGCCAAGACAGTTGTAGGCATCGTTGCTCCTCAGATGCCCCGTGAGCCCTTGGTCCATGGGTGTGGCCGGTGTCGAGGCCTCTCCGGGAAGCTGGGGAGGCATGTCATGAGGAGACCCTGAGTTCAGCTGGTGCCTCCTGACGGGGCCTTGCTTCCTCTGCCAGCGCATAAAGAGCGGCTGTCCTGGCAAGCTGCCCGAGAGGGAGGCCTGCCCGAGTGACTTTCTGTGTGCCGGGGACAGGCCTGCGGGGGGTCGTCCCACACCGTGCGCGAGCCCGGGCAGAGTGACCCGCCGCCCTTCGCTCTGCACGGGCAGGGCTGGGGCGTCCTGTCCACACGCACTCTCTGCGCCTCCTCCTGTCGTCCTCTTTGCAGCTTCTGGGGGGACGTCCTCGGACATTCTCCTAGCCTTCTGCTCACTGTTCTCTGTGTGGCGTCACTAATCACTCTGCCCTGGGCTTCCTTGGGGGCAACGTTCAGTGTCTGTTACCCACCTACGGGTGTGGGAGCCCCGCGCGCCCCACGCTCGCTTGCAGCCTGAGGGCAGCACCTCCCTGCGCCGGGTGCACAAGGCTCCATGTGAGTTACGTTTTCAGAGAGCCTGTGTTTTAAGCAGTGTCGAGTTTGGCATTTTTCAGTCACCATTCAGGATCCAGTCCTACAGTCTAGTTCCAGTGAGCGTGAAGCTTTATACCTTAACGCTACGTTTGTGCGATGTATGTATGTACTTGAACACATTCCCCTGTCGTGCAAACGTGGGTGTCCTGGAAGCTAGTTACCTGTTCGCTTACTCTTGCAGAGGTGTAGTGTTGCGTACATCTGTGAACTGAATTGGACGCATACTTCTTCACGTTGTGAAAGTTCTTTGAAGAGGTTGACCTTAGAGTTTCAAAGTGTATTACGAGTAGATATCTGCCAGATTTGACATTTGCTGCTCATCTCTTGGTTGGAGAGAAGAGTAAAATGTTCCTTAGTGGTTCGGTGTATTATACTAATACCTGATAGTCTAAAATTTCTGCCCGTTATAATTAAATAAGTTAGTCGTTGAAGTCCAACGTTAATAATAATTTTGTTTTCTATAAAAGTATTTTCTGAATGTGTTAGCAGTGCGTAAGAAACGTTTCTGACACTTCAGTTTACCGCAGACGGTCCTTCTAGACGACAGACGTCGTCAGTGGAAGAGGTGAGGTGTCCCAGAGGTTTTAATCCCCTTTTCTTCTGCGTTTCCGCAGGCGGGGAGGTGGTCAAAATTGCGCAGCTGGCGTCGCTGGCAGGGCCGCAGAGCCGAGTCGCCCAGCCGGAGACCCCTGTGACACTGCAGTTCCAAGGGAACAAGTTCACACTGTCGCACAGCCAGCTGCGGCAGCTCACAGCCGGCCAGCCGCTGCAGCTGCAAGGTGAGGGCCAGCCGCCCCCGGGGACCGCACAGTGTGCTCCCACCGGCCCGGGACTCGCGGGAGCGCAGGCGCCGTGTGTGGAGGGCTGTGGCGCGTCTTCCTTGTGGGCTCTGTGGGCCCCGGCTGGGTAGCCCCAGAGCACATGCCTTCCTGGAGCCGGGGCTCCGTCGCCGACACTGGGTTTTTTTTTGGGGTGGGGGGAAGGGTGTTTCCTGTTTTGTTAAAATATATTCTTTGGAAATGTTCCCTTATTTGTTTGTTTGTTTGTTTACTTTTATGTTACTGTGTTTTAAGTACTACACCCAACATGGGGCTTGAATTCACGACCCTGAGGTCAAGAGTCGCATGCTCTAGCCAGCCAGGTGCTCTAAATATTCCCCGTTTTAAAAATCAAAATAGAAATATTTGTTACTTTCTAATTTTAGAGTGAAATAAATTGTGAAATAAATTGTCCTAACGCCACCAAAGAACTAGCGGTTGATGTAGAAGTTACATCCTTTCATATACAGATTTGGCAGCATTGACTCCCAGACCACAGTCCCCGAGGCCTTTGTCGGAACGCGACGTGCTCCTCTGGTAACTGCTGTGTGCAGAGGACGAGGGTGTAGTGTGAGGGGCACGAGAGGATTAGCCCAAAATGACCACGTGGTGGCGGCTCAGGGTCTGAGTCCCCCTTGCCTGTAGGCCCCCTGCGACAGGTGGCGCCTGCCACGGCCTCCCTGGGACGAGGTGTGTGCCACTGGTCAGCCAGGGTTGGGGCGCTCTGTTTGGGCGCCGGGTGGTCAGGTGCAGGTTGGTGGAGTGGAGGCCCCAGGAAGCCTGCAGCAAAGATGCCACTTAATTTGGTTTCATTCCCTGCTTCTTCAGTTTTTTGGCCAAAAGGGCAAGGCCATCTGTCAGTGCCTCTGGCATGTTGGAGCACAATGTGGGCGCCTTCCTCCAGAGTAAAAGATGTCAGAAAGGCCTGGTCACACACACTGCTGGGTGCGGCAGACCCCTTAAACAGTGAGAGGAGAGCTGCGGCGTTTGGGCTAGACAGCGTTTCCAACGGTTTCTTCGTCACACTGTTTGGACTGGCACGCACCAGCCTGTGATCCAGGGCCTGGGGCTTCCCCTGGGAGCGGCACGGGGCTTCAGGCCGGCGTGACACCCCTTCCTGGGTGCTCTTTGCATCACCTCATGTCAGGAATTGCGAAGATTAGAGGAGTGTTCTCTTGACGTTAAGCAAAAGTGATTTTGTTCCTTCTGGTTTTCGTTCATTGTAAATGAAATATGCTCATTATCTCCCAAGTAACTGCATTGTGCGCTGCCTTGTTGGAGTAAACTTGATTTTGGATTTTCAGTGTATTCCTTCGTTTGTTGCCGTACGTTTGAAAGTGAGTGTGGCCGGGAGGGGAGGCGTGCACGGCCTGTGACCGGCGCCCCCCGGCGCACGTGTGATTGCAGGCAGCGTCCTTCAGATCGTGTCCGCGCCCGGCCAGTCCTACCTGCGGCCTCCCGGCCCCGTGGTGATGCAGACCGTGTCTCAGGCGGGCACCCTCAGCGCCCTGGGAGGCAAGCCCCCGGCCGGCGGCCCAAGCCCCGCACCCATGACGCCGCCAGGTAGAGTGCTCCGAGCAGGGGGGCTTGACTTGGGAAGCTTCTTTCTCTGTGACTTTGGGGCGACCGGACGGTGCTCACGACCTCTGCCCGTGGCGTCACTAAACCTGAAAGCCCCGCTTGTCAGGGTTGCTCATCTCCACAGATGGGCCCCTAGCAGCCTGGCTTATTTTCTTGCTCATTTCCCTCAAAGGTATCTGTAGAAGATACTTAGTCTCCACTCACCTCAGATTTTTTTCAGTCTTTTTTTTTTTTTTTATGTTTATTTCTAGGAGAGAGAGAGAGACAGCGTGAGCAGGGGAGGGTCAGAGAGAGAGGGAGTCACAGACTGAAACAGGCTCCAGGCTCTGAGCTGGCAGTCAGCACAGAGCCCGACGCGGGGCTCGAACCCACGAACCGCGAGATCGTGACCTAAGCGAAAGTCAGACGCTTAACCGACTAAGCCACCCAGGCGCCCCAGATTTTTTTCTTTCTTTTCTAACGAGAGGCTTGGAATCATGAGACATTTTGCCTGTTAGTGTCACAGATACATCCAGTGGGCATGCTTGAACTTCCTGAGACCGCTGATGGACCGGAATTTGGGCCCTTCTCCATATGGCCCGTCCTCGGCCTGCCTCCCCCGCCAGGGTCCTGCCGTCCTGGATGCACCCATCCTCCTGTGGTGTGAGGCGGCTGAGCAGGCGGTCCGCCGGGGACCCCTCCCGACCCGAGGTCCCAGTCGCTGCTCGGCCCCGACCCCTGTGCTGTCTGTGCCGAGGCTGGATGGGGCCTTTGTGCCTGCTTCCTGACGGGCCCTGTAGGGAGTCTGGAGGAGGCCTCGGGGCTGCCACATCCCCTGTGCCAGGTGTCCCCACCTGTGGCTGGTGCTGTTTCCCAGCCTCCCTCACCTTCCGGAACCTGCTCCTGGCACCTGTCGCCACAGGGCAGTCACCTCCACCACACTCTTGTGCCTGGCACCTGCCCCTGGGTCCTGATCACTTGACGCCCCTTCCCTGTCCCCTGAAGTAGTTTTTTCTTTTAAATATTTAAATTTTGTTTATTTTTTTTTTTAAGTTACATCCAAGTTAGCATATGGTGCAACAATGATCTCAGGCGTTGATTCCTTAATGCCCCGTACCCATTTGGCCCCCGCCTCCCACAGCCCCTCCAGGAACCCTCTGTTTGTTCTCCACGTTTAAGAGTCTCTTATGTTTTATCGTCTTTCCTGTTTTTATATTATTTTTGCTTCTTTTCCCTTACGTTTATCTGTTCTATGTTTTAAAGTCCTCACATGAGTCAAGACATAACGATACTTGTCTTTCTCTGACTAGTTTCATGTAGCATAATACTCCCTAGTTCTGTCCACATAGTTGTAAACGGCTTTTTAAGTTTTTTTAAAAAATTTTTTTAATGTTTATTTTATTTTTGAGAGAGAGATACAGACAGAACATGAGCAGGGGAGAGGCAGAGAGAGAGAGAGAGGGAGACGCAGAATCCAAAGCAGGCTCCAGGGTCCGAGCTGCTAGCACAGACCTTGATGCGGGGCTCGAACCCACAAACCGTGAGATCATGACCTAAGCTGAAGTCGGACACTTAGCCAACTGAGCCACCCAGGCGCCCCTTTTTAAATTTTTTTTAAGGTTTTATTATTATCCATATTTGAGAGAGAGGGAGACTGAGTATGAGCAGGGGAAGGGCAGAAAGAGAGAGAGAAGGAGATACAGAATCCAAAGCAGGCTCTGAGCTGTCAGCACAGAGCCCGACACAGGGCTCGAACCCACAAACTGTGAGATCATGACCTGAGCCAAAGTCAGATGTTTAACCAGTGGAGCCACCCAGGCGCCCTAATGTGGCTGTCTTACCCCAGGTCTCTCTCATTCCTCGGTGCTGCCGCCCCCCTGTACAAAGCCCCTGTCAGGATGTGCCTCGTAACCTGGCTGGCGGTGGTGGGCTGGTGGGGCGCAGACCCATCCCCCTCGGTTTGGAGAGTGAGGGTGGTGCTGGCTCCCTGTTAGGGGCATGTGGGTGAACAGAGCCCCAGGGGATGCGTGTTTTACTACCCGTCCCGCTTGCCTTTACAGTTGGTGTGCCTGGGCGGGTGGTGGCCAACCCCCTGGCTGCAGGAGACCCTGGAATGGCCTCCAAACCAGCCTCTCCCGTCGGAGGGCCAACCCAGGTACGGCAGAGTGGCCCCCAGCGCTGCATTGGTGCACGTGGGCAACTCCTTCACGTGCGGAAGTTGTCTTTCAGAAGCTACTTGGGGGGGGCCGGTGGAGGTTGTGGTAATTTAACGGTGTCGAGGTACACGCCTTCAAAAAGCGCGTATTGTTCCTGAATTCTAGAACTTGATTTCAAAAACACATTTTGTAATAGATGAAACTGGGCTTCGTGATTCCAGAAATCCCATTTCATGTTTTTCATGTTTCTCTGTCTCCTGGGCATTAGAAACGCCCACCACGTTTGGGGAGAAGCGCGCCTGTTTGCTCTGCCTCCTCACTGTGGCTTTCTGCTGTTGAATGGGCCGTGGGCATCTCTGAGGACGCGGAGCGTGAGGGACTCCGCGGGGTGTGGCAGGACCCAGCGCCGGGCCTGCTGCTCTTCCATAGCGGTTTCCTCCCTGTTTCCCACAAAGGAGGAGAAGACCAGACTTTTAAAAGAGCGACTGGACCAGATCTACTTTGTCAACGAGCGCCGTTGCTCTCGGGCCCCCGTCTACGGCAGAGATTTGTTGCAGATTTGCTCCGTGGTTGGCAGAGAACAGATTCCTTGGCTCGGGGCTTCTGACGGCGGTCACTGGAAGGCGGCCAGGCCAGCCTGCGGTCACTCCTCACCCTCGCCCAGTCACAGGGGCCTGATTTTGACACTGACCCAACGGCAAGCCTGCCTGCAGGATGTCATTGACAGGTAGGGCGGCCTCTGTGTGCACGGGCACTCTGCTCCCCGGGTGCCCCCAGTGGTGCGTGTCCCCCCTTCTCGGGTGCTCGTTCCTGCGAGGTTCTCTGCGAGCTGTACCTTGGAAGTCTGTTCAGAATCGTTCCGGGGTCCCCAGCCGATCTCTTTACCTTCTGGGAAGGCTGTGTACCCTCAGGGTGCTCTCTCCTCCCTTGGGTGCCAGGTCTGTCCCCAGGGCAGCGTTCTGGTGGATGTGGGGGACTGTCCCCTGGCGGCGAGGGCTTTCTCCGTTGTGCTCTCTTCAGTAGCGTTTTATTGGAAAACCACACGGAAAACCATTGCTCGTAGGAAGCGTGTGTTTGAGAGTGAAACTTAGAAGCCAGCTGTAGGAGCGAACACAGCCGCCCAGAGGCTGTGTGCACAGCCCCCTGCGCCCCAGCCCCCAGCTCCCCTTCCTCTGCGTCCCACTGGCAGGCTCAGCCCCATTCCCTGTTGAGTCCCATCCCTTGTTTTGAGCATGTGTCCCATCCGGCCCAAGCACGAGTCTGCTTGCTCCTGTTCTGTGCACGTGGCCGATTGCAGGCCTCATGGTGATCCTGGGTTTCCAGTGGGGACACTGTGGCGCTCCCGCGGCCTGGCTCAGTGGGCACGCCAAGCGGTCCCACTGCCCTGAGGTCCCTGTGCTCCCCTTGGAGCCCTGGCAACCAGCGGCCTGGCTCGGGTGGGCATGCTGAGTGGCCTCACTGCCTTGAGACTCCTGTGCCCCCCTTGGAGCCCTGGGCACCCGCGGCCGTGCCTTTCCCCAAATGTCCTGCCGTTGGAGTGGTCCATGTGTGGCCTCTTCCGATGGCTTTCTCTCAGCAGATGCTGTTAAGGTTCCTCCTCAGCCTTTAGTGGCTTGACCGCCATTTCTTTGTAATTCCCGCTGTCTGTAGGGCAGCTTATCTACCACCTCCTGGGGATCCTCTGGCCGCTCGGCGTTCCCGTGGCCGCCAGTGAAGCTGCTGTAGACGACCACGTGCAGGGTCCATGGAAATGTACATTTCCACTTCGTGTGACTGAGTACCCAGAAGCCTGCGGGTCAGGCCGTCCGGCGGGCACATGTTCAGTCTGCTGCCCCATCCCTGTCCATGGTGGTGAGCCAGAGCCCCGCCGCCCCATCCCCGCCACACTTCTCGGGCGGGCGGCGGCGTCTCACGGCGGCTGTGATCTGCGGTTGCCCGGGGATGTGCGACGTGGAGCCTCTTTTCACGGCTTTTTGCCATGTTTGTCCTCCGTGGTGTGGCATCCGTTGAGGTCTTTGGCCTGTTTGGTAAATGGGTTGCTCATGTTCTCATATTTTAAGAGTTGTGTGGGTGTTAGGATGACAGTCCTTCATCAGTCGTGTCTCTCAGGAGCATTTTCTTCTCCTCCGTGACTCGTCCCCTCGGGGCGCCGGCTCTCACAGGCAGAGTGTGTGGCCCTGATGGAGTCCAGCCGTCTGTCCGCTCGTGGTCAGCCAGCCCCTCACCTGCTCTCCCCCTGCGTCCTCGTGCAGGGGCGCCCCTGTCTGCATCTCCTACTGAGGTCTAGGTCCAAGCTGAGCGAGGTTTGCAAAGGGACTGGGTCCGTGTCTAGATTCAGTCCCCCCCCCCCCCCAACTCCCGTGTTGTCAAAGGTCTTCAGACGCACGCGAGCGGAGGAACGCGGCGAGCCCGCGCACCCGGAGCCCGTCCTCAGCAGCCGCCAGCGCCTGCCCAGCCTTGTGTCACCTGGTGATGGCCCCGCAGCAAGACCATTCCGAAACAGATTCCAGACAAACAGTTTTGTCGCGCTGTGAAAGACACACAGTTGCTGGCCCTTATCAGCTAAGAAAGGAACTGTTTCTGACGTTAGTATGTGTGTATTCAGCCTTCGTGGTTTTGCTCGTCTTATAAATCCTTTTTCTGTGTTTGAAGTCTGAATCATGCGAGGGAGGTGTGGCAGTTGGTTCAGCTCTCCGTCGTGGGTCCTCTAACCGGGTTCTGCTGGCCCTTCTCGTTTCCCCTCGCGACGTGTTGGTTGAGGAAAGCCCGGGTTTCCCTGTAGGACTTCACACCATCTCGATCTGCCCGTTGGTTCCTCGAGCAGTTACACCGTGACGTGTAACTGGACATGTTGCTTCGTTCCCTGTCTTGTCTGTAAATGGCTCGATTCAGAGGCTTAATCAAGTGTATGTGGGTTGGTGGTTGTTTTGGGGTTTTTGTTTGCAAGAACGGGGGTGACCGTGAACCCCGTTAGGAACACATGTGCAGTGCATGTGTTTGCGCGTGGCTGTTGCTTGTTGCAGCACCTTGTTGCAGGAAGTGCTTTGTTCCGCTGGGAGTGCCGAGGTGATCGTGCCTGCCTCTGTCGGGGCCTCCGCCCAGCCCTCAGCAGCACGTCGACATCTGCGCCATCCCTGTGGCGTCACAGCGAGACTTGTGTTGGCGGCGTCCCCACTCCGGTTTCGTTGTCGTTCGACATCGTGTGGGCTCCGCTGCGTTTCCGCGTTGACCTTGGGTCCAGCGTGTGGCTCATCTGCACAGCACTGGCTGGGGTGTGCTCGGGGAGCGCGCTGAGGCTTTAGGTCAGGTGGGCAGAGCAGACATGCTGGCCATGTGGGCTCTTCCGACCTACGAACATGGAATTGCTCTCTGTTGGTTTAGTTCTTTGATTTTGTTTGTCAGAGCTTTGGTGACAGATGGTTTTTTCTTTTCCACGTGGCTGGTGGCAAGTCTGGGAAACCTGGCTGGAGCCGACCCCAGAGCAAGGCCCTTTGGGTGCAGGTGACCTCCAGAGGTCGGAGGGGTGGCTTGTGGCTGCTCTCCGCCGGGCCTCTTCCAGCTGCGTCTGGCTTCCCTCCTGGTGGCACGGTGGCTGTACCAGTTCTGGGGGTCACACTCCCCCCTCCCACCCCCAGACCACACGGGACACGGCAGCTGTATTCTCAGACCCCCTAAGGACACATACTTCACAGAATGCCATCTGTGTGCCCGTTCCTACAATCGCCGGGTGCCCTGATGGTTGTTTCAATATGGGGGGACCCGCATTAGCCAGCACTGGCAGCACCCACTCCCATGTTAGCTGTGATGGGTGGTGTGGGCCAGCAGCCATGTCCCCCCCACGGGGACTATAATTAGGCACTCTGGCCTCTCCTGCAACTCCACTGTTAGGAGGTTCCACCCGCTTCCTTCTTGAGCCTTTGCTTCCTGAGACAGGTGCTGCCTGGTGGGGACACTGTGGACACCACGTGTGATGCATGTACTTTCTGCTTCTCAGGGTGGCGTGCGTGATCCCGCCGGTGGTGGCCGCGCCCCCATCCTTGTGGGTGGCGAGGCCGCCGTCCCTCTACAGCCACAGGATGAGGATCTTGAGGCACCGCCTGAGAGAGCACACGGCCCCCTACGCGCAGCAGCTGCAGCAGGTCACGGCGCTGCGCTCCCTCCGCTTTCCTGAGCTCAGATTGGTCCAGTTTGACTCGGGTATGAGAGGGGCTCCCGTTGGCGCTGCTCCTTTTTTTTCCCACTTATTTCTAAGAGCACGTGTGAGTGAGTGGAGGAGCGTGGGGAGCAGTGGGGGGAGGGAGAGAGAGCGCGAAAGAGAGAGAGAACCTCAAGCAGGCTTCACCTCAGTGCAGAGTCCAACACGAGGCTTGATCTCACCAACTTGAGATCATGAGCTGAGCTGAGCCGAAATTGAGAGTCAGATGCTCAATCGACTGAGCTACCGGGCGCCCTCGCACTGTTCTTGAGGTCGGGTTTCCTTGCCTCGGGATGTGAGAGACTCCCCACATCATCACTTTATAGGAAAGCTAGAAGCCTTGGCTATCTTACTCCAGAAGTTGAAGTCAGAAGGACGTCGAGTGCTGATCTTGTCGCAGATGGTTCTCATGTTGGACATTTTAGAAATGTTCTTGAACTTCCATTATCTCACCTACATCAGAATCGATGAAAACGCCAACAGCGAGCAGCGGCAGGTAAGGAAGAAAAGGTTTTCTTTGTTACAGTTTATGCTTCGGTGCCATTAACTGAGCTCACTGGTTTCTGCCCCGGTTTCTGGGAGCCGTGTCAGGGCGGGGCAGTGGCGGCGCTCTAGTAAGTCAGTCTTCAGCGCAAGCACCTTGTTACTGGACGTGCGTGGTTGGCTGGCCGTCTCAGAGTCAAGACATCCTGTGGCCACGAGGAGCGGGTTGGTGTGCTTCAGGACGCAGCTGGGCGTGGAGCTGTGGGCACAGTGCCGACTCGGTGCACCCCAGGAAACGCAAATGCACAGTGTGCGCCTCTGTGACTCGTCACATTGGCCAGGCGTGTGTTGCTTTGGTTGGTGCGGTGAGACAGGCGTGCTCACATGCTCCGAGCAGGCGCGAGGCCACATGGCTTTGTAGGAGACAGGTTGACAGTGTGGCCTGTGGGCCTCGCATGGGCACACGCCTGCCTGAGTACTGCGTGGAAGGCTCAGCCCCTTCGGTGCCTTGCCCCCCTCAGGAGTGATGCACACGTCCAAGTAGGTTGTGTGTGTGCCATGGTGCTCGGTGGCATTGTGAGCACACCGTTGCGAGCATCCGTGGGCTGCACTCCAAGGTTGTCATCAGAGCATTTGGAACAGGAGTCCGCACAGGAGAACCTTCCCAAGTGCTGGAAGCCCATTGCCGGCCTCTTCACGTGACCCTGTGCACACAGGGCTTTTCACCCACGTGCACGCTCACGGAGAAGGGGGTGCAAGGAGATGCAGCACGGTGTTGACTAACAAGGTTTTTTGGCAGTGGTGTAACAGGTCACATGCGGGGCCTCTGGGAAGAAGAGGGGTCCTGTGGCTGTGTGTTGTGGTGCCGAGATGGCTGTCGGGAGCTGTGCTCACGGGAGGCTGCTAGCCTCTCTCCCTGCCCGCCCCCTGCTCCCTCAGCCTTACTCCGGGGCCTTGTGCCGTGAAGCGCTCCGGCATTGCCTGAGGGTACAGGACCGAGCACACGTCCCTCCCCAGGAAGACTCTGTGTTCTCATGGGGCCTGCGGGTTGAGCTGACAGTTCCTGTCAGGTAGAGTCTAACATCCTTTCTGTAAGCGAGGCTCGGCGTCCTGTGAGGAGTGTGCGGAGTGGTCGGTGGTCAGTGGTGGCCACGGACATGCGCGTGGGAGCCAGGACCACCAGACGTTTCTTTCTAGCTGGTCAATGTCCGCACACCCGCGGCGGCCAGTGTTTGCCATGGGGGGCTGACCCGAGCGTCTTACTTCATCCCAGGAACTGATGAGGAGTTTTAACAGAGACCGGCGGATTTTCTGTGCCATTCTGTCGACTCACAGCCGCGCCACAGGGGTGAGCCTGGTGGAGGCCGACGCGGTGGTGTTCTATGACAATGACCTGAACCCCGTGATGGATGCCAAGGCCCAGGAGTGGTGCGAGAGGATCGGGAGGCGCAAGGACGTCCACATATACAGGTGAGGGCGGCGGTGTCCACGAGTGGTCGCCCGCCCAGGGTGCGGGAGGTGTGGGAGCAGAAGCACTGTGTGGGGCTCAAGCATATGCTGGGCTCGCGCCCCGCGTCTCTGCTGTGGCGTTTGTTTTTTCTACTTAGTTTATTTTGAGAGAGAGAGCATGGGCATGCACAAGCAGGAGAGGGGCAGAGAGAGGGGGAGAGAGAATCCTAAGCAGGCTCCACCTTCTGTGTGGAGCCCAACTCGGGGCTCCATCCCACAACCCCAGGATCATGACCTGAGCTGAAATCCAGAGTTGGATGCTCTACTGGCTGAGCCACCCAGGAGCCCCTTGTTTTTTCTGAGGCACTCTTCAGTTCTTGCTGCTTTGTTTTCTCTGTGCCCATTTGCTTAGTTTGTAACCTGCTTGCCTGAGACTGTAACAGAGTTAGTTGCTTCGACATGTGCTGTCCACACTGTCCACTCTAAGTGTACTTCTTCTAGGGGACCTGTGAGTGTCTCAGTTACCGTCAGGTGTGTCTGTTCTTAGGACGGCTGCAGAAAGAACTCAAACCTGTGTTCCTTACTTACTGTATTCCTAGACATAAGTTCTAACTGGCCAAACCCAGAACGGAGGGAAACGGAGAAGGCTCTACTCTGTATTTCTAAACTTCTGGAAGCATTTATTTATTTATTTTTAATTTTTTTTTAAACCTTTTAATTTATTATTGAGAGACAGAGCAGGAGTATGGGAGGTGCAGAGAGAGGGGGAGACATAATCTGGAGGAGGCTCCAGGCTCTGAGCTGTCAGCACAGAGCCCGACACAGGGCTTGAACCCACGAACTGTGAGATCATGACCTGAGCCGAAGTCGGACGCTTAACCGACTGAACCACCCAGGTGCCTCTGGAAGCATTTTTATAGTCGTGTAGTATCAGGGAGTCTATATTCTGTTGCTTAACCTAAGCTGTGGCGTCAGCCTGTGCGCACCGTTGGCCTGTACACGACGTCGGTCTGTGTGCGGGGTCGGCATGCCTGCAGTGTCGGCCTGTGCGCGGGGTCGGTCGGTGTGTGTGGTGTCGGCCTGTGCATGGCAGGCTGGGAGAGCAGTGGGCCCCGGTGTGCATCCCTATGGGGACAGCTGGCCCAGGACTCAAGCCCCCGCCTGCGTGTATAACCTTCACTGTTGGCGTGGGCGCAGAGCCCCCTCGAAGTGGGCGTTTGGTAGCTGCATTGTCCTTCTGAGAGCCAGTGAGTAAGGGATGCTTTTCTAGGGAACGTCCCACGGAGATGGAAGCTGGCAGCGTTTTGGCAGATGTCTCTCCAACATGTTTTTACCGATTTATGTTAAAACTTGCAGTCCCGTTTGTTAATCCTGTTTTTTCTCACGGGCACCGCGAGTCTGTCTCTGCGCCGGTAAACGTAAGCCCGGTGCCCCTCATGCTGCGTGAGTGACGTTTTCCTGAGTGACCGTTTCCTTGTCGCTGGCCCTGCAGCAGTCATCAGCCAGAAGTGGGAGAACAGTTTCATTCTCAGGAACCGTATTTCACAACCACTCAGAAACAGTCTTGGCAGCAAAGGTGCGGGGTGTGTCAGGACTGAGAGTTAAACCAAACATGCTAAGACCTGACTAGGAGGCCAGGCTGTGTCCTGGGGCGGAAGACCTGGTGTGTAAAAATTGCTTTCCTCAAAGCACTATGGAAAAGTGACAGTGTTTTAACCAGAGCCACATTTGTGTTTGTGCATGCATGTGCACATGCGGCTGGATAAGCTCGGTCGGTTTTAAAGTGCATTTGGAGGGCACCCAGGTGGCTCAGTGGTTGGGTGTCTGACTTCATCCCAGGTCATGATCTCATGGTTCATGAGTTCGAGCCCCCCATCACGGTCTGTGCTGACAGCTCAGAGCTTTGGAGCCTGCTTTGGATTCTGTCTCTACTCTCTCTGCTCCTCTCCCCCTCTCCCCTCTCCCCTCTCTCTCTCTCTCTCTCTGTCTCTGTCAAAAATAAATTAAAATGTCTAAAAAAAAATAAAGTGCATTTGCAGTGAAAGCTGATAACAGCCACCAGAAATGTTCACGAGGGTTGCAGGAGGAGGTGCAGAAGGAGGGGAGCAGTGGACGGTGCGGGTGTGAGCCTGCAGGGCTGGGGGTCTAGCCTCATGGGAGCGTGTTTATTTGGTACATGTTGCTGACACTGTGCTGACCGTGAGGATTACAGGTGCCCACGTTATGGCCAGAACGCCACCCCCGGGGCTCAGCACGGAGGTGTGGCAGTAAAGCAAGGGGCTGAGGAGAGAGTATCTGTGGCCTGAAGGGATAACTTCAGCCCGACTGGGAGCTTCCTCCAGAGGAAGGAGAGATAGACATATCTGATTGCAATCAAATGAAAACTTAAGTTCTGGTTTGCCAAAAGATCCCATAGCAAAGCTAACACACAGATAACAGATTGGGGACATCGTTTGCAGTCTCACAGTGGACAGGGGATTGTATAGCTCTTACAGGGTGAGAAGAAAGGTAATTGAGCTCTTATTCAGGAAAGGCGTGGGGGGGTCGGGGGAGGCGTGTGCCTGAGAACCCAAACCACATGGTCGGACAGGCTTGGGAGGCGGAGGCCCAGTGGCCGCCTGTGTGATGGCCTTTCTCATGTGCCCCGATGGGAGGCAGCAGCAGGCACGGCTGCTGGCCGTGCTGGCGAAGGCTGCTCCCACCCTGAGTGGGGAGTGGGCTGGTGCTCTGTTGGGACAGTGGTTTATCGTGTCCCGCTGAGCAGAGGGTTGCACGTGCCCTGTTCCCAGCCGTCCCCTCCAGAGGTCCAGCCTGTGGTGTTGGTGGTTGCTGTGGCTTGTGTACATGTCACGAAGTTGGAACCAGCAAATGCCTGTGCTTGCAGTACAGCTGTACCCTGGCCATTGAGCAGCCACTGGAACCGGGGGAGGGGCTCCCAGCAGCAGACCGGTCAGGGGGGAAGCAAAGTGCAGAGAAGCATGCGGGGCACCACTGCGTGTGCACATGAGCGTGCCAGGCCGTTAGCACTGGGGGGGCCAGGCGGTCCCTGCACGGTCCCCTGGGGGCGCCAGGAGACTTTCCCAGGCGGAGGCTGGAGGGGAGGAGGACAAAAGGGACCGCAGTCACAGACACATGGGGTGGCGTGCGGCGGGGGAGCCGACACGGGAGAGGTGGCCTTGGCCTCCATGTGAAGGCACACCCGAGGCACACAGAGAACCTTCCAGCACCCTCCCGAGCGTCCGCACCCCAGCCGCTCACGGTGTCCTGCGTCCCAGCGGCCCCGCAGTCAGCATGTGCACACGCGTGTGTTTTGTAGGCTTGTAAGCGGCAATTCCATCGAAGAGAAGCTGTTGAAAAATGGAACCAAAGACCTGATCCGAGAAGTAGCCGCTCAGGGCAATGATTATTCCATGGCGTTCCTGACGCAGGTACCTGTCACTGATGTATGGTCCTCACAGGTGCCTCCTGGTGACAGAGTGCATGGGTTCACCATGTACGGATGGGGGATCACCGGGTGACTTCCCTGGGGATAGGGCCTGACGCCGGGGTTGGGCTCTGACCCGGCCCCTGCTGTCGGGCACAAATGTGCGTCTTGCGTGCAGCGCACCATCCAGGAGCTGTTTGAGGTGTGCTCTCCGACGGACGATGCCGGCTTCCCAGTGAAGGCGGAGGAGTTTGTGGTCCTTTCTCAGGAACCTTCTGCCACAGAAATCATCGCACCCAAAATCGCAAGACCTTTCATTGAGGTGAGGACACAGCCGCCTGTCCCGGGGGCCCACATGGGATGCGCTGTGCCTGCCGAAGGGCCTGAATGCCCCGCCCCCTTGTTCAGCCTGGTGCACCCCTCCTGCCTGCTTCCGTTGCATTTCGGGCGTTTTGGCTGGAAAAGCAGGGCAGGGGAGCAGCAGAGGGTGTGGGGGCCTTGGGTCCCCGCCACCCAGCCCAGCCGCCGACTCTGTGTGCCTCCACTCTGCGCAGGCCACACTGCCTCCCCCAGGCCACAGCCGGCTGTTTGGGCGCCTTGCCTGTCGTCACGGTTGGCCGTCTCAGCTCCTCTCTTGACAGGCGCCCTGTGTGTGTGAGTGTAAGATGCACACCCGATTCTAAGGACAACACAAAGCAGAGCGTGAACTATCCCATTAATACCGTTTTTGTGCTGCTTACTTGTTGAGGTGATGGTATTGGTTATATCGGGCAATTACGTTTCTAACTTAGGAGCTAGAGATTTCAGGTTGTGCACCTGGCCCATATGCTGCTGTGTAGACCCTTGCAGACCCGCTGTCGGGGCCGCGTCCCTCTTGCCCTGCCTCGTGCAGGGGTCTTGCTGCAGGCCCCCGTCCCTCCCCGCTCTCAGCCCGTCTTCGGAGGCCATGCCCTGCTTCCCTCCGTCCTGGGTGTTGGTTTCCAGGCTCCTGACCTTGGCGGGACGCCCGTGGCCTGGGCCTCTTGCCCCCGCTGCCTGTGGCACAAGGCCGCGCGGGCTCCCTGCGGTGCCCTCCACCCCCGTCCCCTTCCTGGTGCCTTTGGTGCCCTTAGTATCTTACCACTTGGTTGTTGAGAAATAATAAACGTGTGTGTTAAATCCTCAAGAATTTATAATGAAAGCAAGTGCCCCGCCCCAGAGTTTCCTGCATATGACGCCCCCTGCAGAGACACCTTACAGCCCTTCGTTGGGGGACAGGTCAGTCGACCCCATTCTTGCACAGATAGGGGTTATACGCACACAGTTGAAAAAGGAAAACAGCATGAAAGAAAAGAGATCATGTTCCAGAGGTAGCGGTCTCGGCATTAAAACTCTGGCACGTGTCCTGGGAGACAGATGCGGCAGGAAGGTGTGGCAGGAAACGTGGCGTTTGGGGCTTTTGGCTCGGGCACGTGCCTGTGCCGCTCCGTGCAGCGCAGGATGACACGTACTTACTCTCGACACGTCCTTGTCGACCGTCTCCCTGTGTGTCAGCCGTGCTCTAGGTGGCAGGGGCTTAGCATTGAATGAAAGACGCGGGCTCCCCTCTCCGCAAAGCCTGCGTGTCCGGGATGGGAGAGGCTAGGAGGCCACCAGGGAGAGCATGCGGGCTCTCCCCGCCGCAGCGGAGGGCCCCGCACAGAGCGGCCGGTGCCCAGCAAGGACTGCAGCAGGCAGAGGGGCTGCTGGGGGTCAGGAGGGGATGAGGGGTGAGGGCGGCAGGGGCCAGGCTGATGGAAGCAGCGTGGCCAGGTGAGGGCGGGAGGCGCTGGAGGGGCTTTTGAAGATGAAGTGCGTGAGGGAGGCCCCTGCCATCGGTGCACCCAGGTGAGCAGCTGTGCGCAGGACAGCCGGTGCCTTAGGCTTCCCAGCACTTCTGCAGTGGGCGCAGGGTTCTTCTGGGCCTGGCGCACAGACGCGGCTCTCCGCGGAAATGGTGATGAAGTACGAGAACGTATGAGAAGTATGTACAACATAAACTGTCAGCTTGAGAGGGCGCTACGGGCAAGGCACCCCAGGGACCACCTGCCTCCTCACCACTCCTGTCCCCGAGGGCAGCTTGCTCTTCTGACCTCTGACCGCACTGGCGCCTATGTAGATCTGGCTTCTGGTTCTGGGTCACAGTGGTTCCTGGTGTCTGTGGATGGTCATGACTTCATCAGGTCCACTGTGGGGCCGTGCATCGGTGATGTTCTCTCCGTGTCTTTTGGCAGACACCATGTGCATCTCTGCTAAATGAACCTGGGGTAAGGCCCCTGGGTCATTAGGGAGCACGTGACCCACAGGGGCCGCAGGCAGTTTTCCAGATGGGCCGAGTCGATGTATGCCGTGTTGGCTGCGTGGGACCCGGGGCGTGGGGTGTCATTCCCGGCAGCGTGCTGGCGGACGCGGGCCGGGTCTCTGGTGTAATGTGTCGCTGCTGTCGGCCTGCGAATCTGTGTGCCTCCGCATGCTCCCTGGCAGGGCAAGTACCTTTTTTTTGAAGTGTCTGCTAACATCCTTCTCCCCTTTTCTTGTTAACTGGGTTTTCTTTTTCTTAGTGGTTTGTTGGCACTCTTTATATGCTCTAGGGAAATCCGTAAAATACCTTTGTATGTTCTGTGGTTTGCTTGTCTTTCAATGAGCAGAAGCCCTGGGCCCTGAGGCCAACCAGTCACCTGTCTTTATCGTGGTTGGTGCTTAAGAAGCATTCTCCTTACCCCGGGTCGTCAGGGCGTCCTCCTTTATTTTCTTCTAGATGCTTAAGTGGTCTTCATATTTAGATGTACAGCGTGGAATAAGAGTTCTGTGTATTGTATGAGGTCAGGTAACCTCTTTGAACTGCAGATTTAGCCATATTGCCAAGAAAACAGGTCATACAGTTGGTAATCGATTACCCTGAAACCGGAGACTGGGCTCATGCGTGTCCACACCCACCCGCTGTCAGGTGTGTGCTCCTGGCTGTGGGGAGTGGCACCTAGGAGGCGCCTCTCAATTGGTTTCTTGATCTGTGGTGATGCCGATGACCCGTCGCTACCTCTTCCATTGCTTGGTTTTGGCAGCCGCGGTGTGAGGTTGTCTGTCCCCACTCGTGCGCCGAAGAATCCTTGTTCATCAAAGCCATGGTGCGCTGGGTGCCAGGTGCGAGGTTGAGCAAGGCGCCTGTGTCTTCGGAACTGGGGAGCTTTATGGCGCTGCCACACTCAGCCCTTCGCTGGGGCCTGCTGTCCGTCTTGGCCGTGAGCTGCTCACATCCACCGCCTGCCTCCTGCACGCTGTTTTCTGTGCGCGGTGCAGGCTTGTCGGCGTTTACACAGGGCGGCTCCTTTTCACGACCCTTTGAGGTAAAAACATCGGAAAGTAATTTAAACGCGTAATTTCTTTAGGCCCTCAAGAGTATCGAGTACCTGGAGGACGATGCCCAGAAACCTGAGGAGGAAGTGGTGCCGGGGTCGCCTGACGGCGATGGCCCAGGCTGGCGGGAGGAGCCGTCGCAGCTGGAGGAGTTAGCGGACTTTATGGAGCAGGTCTGGGTGCTCTCTTTCATGTGCTTCGACTCACGTCGTTTCCAGATGCCTAGACGTTTTCAGCGCTTGACCGTTTTGTGAGATTTTCCTTGGTCCCCATGACTAAGAACAAACCTTTCTGGATCTAGGTGGTGGTGGGGCTTGTGTAAGGACCTTCACCTTTTTGATTTGCTGCTAATAACCCTGTTCAAAACATGGTTTTTGAAACAGCTCACACCTATTGAAAAGTACGCCCTGAACTACCTGGAGTTATTCCACACGCCCATTGGCCCGGAGAAGGAGGGCAGCGGCGAGGTAAGCGGCAGCCTCCTGGTGCCATCGGACGAGGGCCTGGGCTTCAGAGGCAAAGTCAGCCGGAAGTAAGCGTGACTGGCCAGGAAGTGTAGGGATGAAAAGCTAACCTGCCAGTGTGGAAACAGACAAAAATGAAGTCTTGGAAAACCTCAGGGAACGCTTCCTATTCGATTGGAAGTAGCTTGATGCCTGGGGGGTCGGACGGCTGGGTGTTGGGGGCAGGGAGGGGTCCGGAGCCCCTGCAGCCAGAGAGGGGCTCGGCTGGTGACACGGCGAGCGCGGCCGCGGCGTGGGAGTCCCAGAGCCCCCGTGCGTGGTCTCCCCGCCAGGACGCTGTGCTGACTGCCGTGACGGAGTGGGAGGCGCGGAACGCCAGGGCCCAGCGGGAGCGGGAGGCGCGGGCGCTGCGGGAGCAGGACCACGAGCAGCTGCTCACCTACACGCGGGAGGACGCCTACAGCGCGGTACGCGGGGCGGGGCGGGGGGCGGGGCGCTGCACGAGCCTGGGCCCTTGGCTGCAGGTGTCTGCTTCACGTGGGCTTTTCTCCGAGTGCGGTCAGGGCGACGTCATCACCAACACGGGGTAGATAGTTGGTGGCCCGTGGCCGCATCTGAGACCACGTCACCCTGAGCCTGCCCCTCACCTGCAGGAGTACGTCTGTGAAGGTGCCGACGGGCAGATGGAGGTCATGCCGGTGAGTGCTGGTGCCCCCGTGTGTCGGGGCGGCCGCCTTCCTGGAGCTGCACGGCTCAGGCTATCCCTTCTGTGCACAGCTCTGGACACCGCCCACGCCACCCCAGGACGACAACGACATCTACGTGGACCCGGTCCTGTGTCTCACGTACGAAAGCACGCCCATCCCAGAGTCCAAGCTGCCTCCTGTGTACGTGAGGAAGGAGCGCAGGCGCCACCGCACGGACCCATCAGGTGCGCCCCATGGCCCCACTCACGGGTCTTGTTGCTTTGTGCTCGGAGCTGGCGAGGAGCCTTCACGGGAGGGTGGGTCTGTCTCAGCCCAGCGCCCCGCAGTGACCGGCCTCCCCCGCGGCCTCCCTCATTCCCTGCCCCTCGCTCGTGGAGGCGCGGTCTCCTGTCTACCGCCCGGCTGACGAAGGTGTCCGTGCAGCCACAGGCCGGAAGAAGAAGCAGCGGCACGGGGAGCCGGTCGTCCCTCCCCGCTCGCTGTTCGATCGCGCTGCGCCCGGCCTGCTGAAGATGCGACGGGAAGGGAAGGAGCAGAAGAAGAACATTCTGCTGAAGCAGCAGACGCAGTTTGCCAAGCCTCTGCCAACCTTTGCCAAACCGACGGCTGAGTCGGGCCCAGACAACCCCGAGTGGCTCATCAGCGAGGACTGGGCGCTGCTGCAGGTGAGCGTGGGGCCGTCCAGTCCACGTCCCGTCCCTGCGCTCCCTGGGAGAGTGCGTAAGGCTGCCGGGGCACTCGCTGACCCGTGCCACCTGAAACCTGCTCTAGGCCGTGAAGCAGCTCCTGGAACTGCCTCTGAACCTTACGATAGTGTCCCCGGCCCACACGCCCAACTGGGACCTTGTCAGCGACGTGGTCAACTCCTGCAGCCGCATCTACCGCTCTTCCAAGCAGTGCCGGAGCCGCTACGAGAATGTACTCATTCCGAGGGAGGAGGGCAAGGTGAGCCCCCCCGCCAATGCCTGCACAGCTCCAACCCCTGGCTCCGTGGAGCTTGGTGAGGGCAGAGGCCCGTGCTGTCCCTGGTCTGTACCCGCAGCACTGCTTTCATGGCCACCATCGTGCTGGCTGTGGTCCCACATGTGGAAAACTCTGTGCTGCCTGAGAGCGTGGCCTGCTTTTCTTTTCTCTTCCTTTCCTTTGCCAAGAAGGTGTTGGGTGAACTTGAGAGCCGTGGTCTGGCTCCGTGGACTTCCCTGGGAGAGCGTGTTCGCGCCTCCTCCGCTGCGCTATTGCCACACGCACAGCAGGTCCGCGGGCTGCCGGGGTGGTGGCACCGGCTCCAGACCTTGTCCTGCTCGCCGTGTGTCGCACATGCCGAACGCACAGCGTCAGGTACTCAGCGTCCGTCCGGAGAAGCTGGCCGTGGCGGCGGCCTGACCCCCCACCCCCGCCCTGAGAGCTGGCTCCGTGGACGAGCATCCGCCTGCGCTTGTTCCTCCAGCCGAACTAGTCTCTGTCTCTCGTCTGCTGTCTTCTCTGTTTCTCCTCTTGCCGCACACCCGTCGGCCTCCCTTCTAGAGAACGTCCTGAGGCCTGTGCACACGCTGACTGCACGGGGCAGATGCGGCAGAGGCCTGCGGGGTCCTCATATGAGGGGCAAAAATCTCTATTCTCTCCGTGTTTGTTTTCCCAGAGACATTCGTCTCTGGGCAGATGTTTGCTTGTTTGTTTGTTTGTTTATTTATCTATTAATTTTTTTTTAAAGATTCTTTTTTACATTTTACATCTATTAATTAATTTTTTTTTTAAATGTCTGAGAGAGAAAGAGAGAGAGACCGAGCCTGAGCAGGGGAGGGTCAGAGAGGGAGGGAGACACAGAATCTGAAACAGGCTCCAGGCTCTGAGCTGTCAGCACAGAGCCCGATGTGGGGCTCAAACCCATGAACCGTGAGGTCATGACCTGAGCTGAAGTCGGACACTTAACTGACTGAGCCACCCAGGCGCACCTTCTTTTTTTATTTAAGAACAAAAAAACCAAGCGTTCCTCATACCCACTGTGGTGGCTTCACCACAAGACTTCCCATAATCTCGTGTGTGGTCTGATGTGTCAGAAACGCTTCCAACAATGGCCACAGAGCTAACGCAGGAAATGCAGGACTGAAGCTTGGTCTTCCGTTGTCACATGTGAAGTTAATCTATAGGAAGAAACAAAACGTATCAGGTACGAAGGTGACATTCTGAGTGAACTGTAGGCAGCCGTGCAGAGGGCCACATGACAGAGCACTGACTCAACCTAGAGGTTGGCGCTTGTAGACGCGTGGTGGCGGTGCCACGTTGGGTGGAGCACGGTGGGAGCGGAGCCCCTTGACCGCCTGCCATGGCTGGGAGGTGTTGTCGTGATGTGCCTGGTCTGGAGCCTGCCCTGCCTCCCTGTGAGGCGCCGCGGGGGGTGCGTTCCCGCATCCGGAGCCTCCTGTGCCGGTCGTGTCCTGCTGGCTCTGCGCTCAGGCCGCCCTGCGTGACGTAATGGCGGCACCTAGACGGCACGCGGAGTCGCCCGTGCACTGCCTCCCCCGGCACAGTGCTCACTATGCAGCCACCTCGGTTCCCATCCCACACGCTGTGCATGACTCCCTGGAGCCCTGCTTGGTGTCATAGTAGGACACGGGAAGGGGGGAGATCGCCAGGCACAAACAGGGCTGGGAAGCCCCTGAGAACAGAGTCAGACACCTGCATACGACTCTCCTCTTCCTGAGGGGCAGCCACCCCTCGGTTCCCCCGCATCTGCTCGCCAGCAAGGGTGCACTGACCCCGCCTCACACGCTGTGCGGCTGCGGAAACCTTGCCCAGCGGTTGTCTGTCCCAGTGGAAGAGGAGTCCTCCCTCCACAGGGCCCCCACGAGCCGGCGTGTGCAGACGCAGGCGTGTGTGGACTCGCAGGTGGCGGTGCTGCCTCAGGAAGGAGGAGCTGTGTGCCATCCAGGAGGTCTAGCGCCAGGCCCCCGAGTCACCCCCATCCGACTGACGTGCTGCCCTCGATTTTGTCTCAGAGTAAGAACAACCGTCCCCTGCGCACAGGCCAGATGTATGCCCAGGACGAGAACGCCACGCACACCCAGCTGTACACGAGCCACTTCGACCTGATGAAGATGACCGCCGGGAAGAGGAGCCCTCCCATCAAGCCTCTGTATGTGCCCCAAGTCCCCCTTCCCGTGCCTCGCGATGGAGCCGGCGAGCGGCCTGCCGCTGGTGTCCTCCTCCCGCGGGTGGTAGCTCTTTGGTAACTGTCATCTCCTTTTCTGTGCTACAGGCTTGGCATGAATCCCTTTCAGAAAAACCCCAAGCACGCCTCCGTGTTGGCGGAAAGGTATTTCTGTACTTGTGACATGTTTTTCGCTATTTGATATTATTTTGTTTTCACATTCCCTTCAACTCAGTTCGGTCGGTGAATTGTGCAGACAGCACATTCAGGCTGGTTATCTCCAGCGACTGCCATGTGGCATTCTCGTGACAAGGGCATGTCTCCGCCTGCAGCCTGCAGGGTACACTGGCGGACGGGCAGGGCTGCGGAGAGCCTTTGTCCTCCCCCAGCTGTGCCCATCTCTAACATGGCGTACGTTGTGTTCTGCCTGAAAAGTACATCAGCATCGGGGTGAACGTACTTGCTTTTAAAGGGAGCAGAAGAGAATGAAGGATAGGATGGAAGGTGGCCAGGGAGACGCGCGGGTGTGAGCAGGCGGGTGCAGTGAGGCCGAGTCGGGTCTGAGTGCTGGGTGGGTGTTTCCCGCACGGTAGGTGGTTTACGGTGCGCGGGTGGGCAGTGTGTGTCTAGACGAAGCCTGGGTGCCCATGTGGCCCCAGCCTTCCTGCCTGCCCGAGCGAGGGTCTGCGGTGCACCACGGGCCCTGCCCCTCTTTACCCGTTGTCAGCGTGGCCCCCGGAGCCGGGCCACCTCCCCTGAGACTCCCGGTGGCCCATGCTGACCGCTCCGAGGGTCTGGCCTCCGCAGGATGCCCCCTGCATCTGGCCACTGCCTGGGACGGTTTTCCTGAGTCTGTGGCTCGTGCCTGGGCCCCCCTTGCACACCACCTTTCCCTCCTTGCCGACGGCCATGCTGTGGTCCTCTGTTTCTTCCTGGTGCGTCCCGTCTTCGCCTTCTGTACTTGAGTTGCGTAGCGTCCGTGTGTCTGGACGTAGGAGTTCTGAGGTCTGGGTGACAGAGCAGGCACACGGTACGTGTTTGTAGATTAAATTAATGGGTTATTACCCGCACCTGGCCATTTATCGCCAGGCAGTGTGCCCAGCACTGTGCTGGGCCCAGCGGTCCCGCGGGGAGCAGGACGGGACACGTTCTCATCCTCTTGGGTGTCACCTGCGGGACACAAACTCAGGCCGGTTTTACAGAGGCGGAAGGTCCCTCCCGCAGGTGCATGGAATGGCCTGACGGAGGAACCAGGGTGCAGCTGCTGGATGTCGCCCCGGCACGAGGGGACCTGTCGTGGGGGCAGGCATGCGGGGCTGAGGGAGACGGGTTACAAGGCAGGTCCGTAGGATGAGCACGGGGGGTCCTAAGTGACACCTCTGAGGTAGGGGTGCAGGCCAGCGGGAGGCGGCACTTCGGGGGCACCAACGTGGACAGGGCTGCTCAGCATGAAAGCGCAGCTGGGGTGAGGTGAGCGCCAGCCTGGGCATCTTGGGGGCTCCTGTTAGTTTCCGTGTCTGGCTCAGATCAGAGGGACGGGTCCTGTGTAGACAGGAGTGAGAGGAGAGGAGAGACAGCACGTGGGTCCGCAGCTGGGTGGCCTCTGGGAGTCTTGTGGTGGCAGCCGAGGGTGAGGGTCCACGAGGAATGGGGGCCAGACTGGCGACCGAGTGGGAGGAAGATCCGTGGGGCCCGGCTAGCGGCTGCTGTCTGTGGAGACACTTGGGCCCCGCCTGGAGCTGGCTGACCCAGGGAGCCTGGTGTGCGGGAGGGACCGCCAGCAGAGGAAGGTTAGGATGGTCATGTAAGAGCAGGGGCAGGGCGGTGGGATCAGGTGAGAAGCCCCGAGCCCACTGGGATGAGTGTTGGGGCGGTGGGAGCTGACGTGCAAGGGCACCGAGCCGGTCGGCATGGCCTGGGCCCTGTGTGGGGGAGGCCCAGAAACGGGGAGGGTGTGCACGAGGTTCTAAGCAAGGCCAGATTCCCTGTGATAGGAGGCCTCGAGGAGGTGGGTAGGGGATAGTAGCTGGGGGGGTCCCCAGCAGCAAGGGCTAGGGGACGGGGGGGCTGGGGACGGGCACCCCACCCCCCTGACAGGCTTTGCAGGTCAGCCTGGTGCCATGGGAGGCTGGCGGGGGGTGTCGGTGCCGCTGGGCCCTGACATAGTTGCAGGAGGCTGGAGGGGTGTGTCGGTGCCGCTGGGCTCTGACGTAGTTGCGGACATGGGGCTGTCTGGACGGCTGGGGTGGGGCCTGGGGACACAGAGCTACTGACGGCTCTGCTGCGGGGAGCGGGGAGGCCCAGCCTGGGGCGCGCACGCACGTTTCAGGCCCTTCGTGTCTGGGCGGTGTACTGGGTGCCGCTGTGGTAGACTAGACCTGCCTCCTGGAAGGTTCTCTGCCGAAAGGAATGGAGACGTGGTCTCGGAGGACTGGCGCAGCTGGTTTGTCTCAAGCGAGGGGGCTTGACGGGAGCTGCCTCCTAGCACCCCAGCAGCCTGGGCAGTGAGTGCTCTGGGTTCCTGAGTGCTCGGCTCCTTGGCTCCCCCCGAGCACGTCCGTTTATTTCCCGTCTCTGCTGTTGTCTTCCAGTGGCATCAACTACGACAAACCACTGCCTCCCATCCAGGTGGCGTCTCTCCGGGCAGAGCGCATCGCCAAAGAGAAGAAGGTATGGGCTCCGGGGACCCTGGGCAGGGCCGGGCTGGGGGCATGGGGGACATGGGGAGAGGGCCCGTCCCCACGGCTCCTCTCCTCTCTGCCTCTACAGGCACTGGCCGATCAGCAGAAGGCGCAGCAGCCGCCTGTGGCGCAGCCCCCACCGCCCCCACCGCAGCCACAGCCCCCGCCGCCCCAGCAGCCACCTCCCCCTCTGCCCCAGCCCCAGGCGGCAGGTGCCCAGCAGCCCCCGGGACCACCCGCTGTCCAGCCACAGGCCCAGGCGCAGCCCCAGGCACAGCCCGCACAGCCCCCGCCGAAGGTGCCCCCGGCCATCACGACAGTGGGCAGCGCCGCCGTGCTGGTGAGGAGACGCCTCTCCCCAGAGACGTGCTTGTTGTGGGGGGGTCCGTGCAGACGCAGGCACGGCTTCCTCGGAGGAGCCGGAAGGCCCAGCCTTGCCCTGGCGGGCACGTGCATTCGCAGGGACGCCCTCAGCCTCACCCTGCCCACAGGGGCTCTGTGGGCAGGGCACCGGGGCGAGTGAGGCGCTGCTGTGACGTCAGCCCACAGAGGCACAGGGACTGCTGGTGCCTCCGTGCCGATGCGTGTGTCCCTGCACATGTGTGCACAAGTCTTCGGTGCCCCTTAGGGACGGGGATACAGTGGATGTACAGGAAAGGTAAAGAAAGGTAGACTTGTGACCCCACACACCATGTGCTGCTGCTGTTGTGCCCTGGTGTGCTCCTCGCCGTGGGTGCCCGTGTGGCCTGCACTGGATTCACGTGTGAGGAGAGTGCCTGGGCCTGCATGGGAGGTGCCACTGCCAGGCATGGGGGTCATGGGTCCTCATCTGCAGCTGCGTCTGCTGCGGTGGGGTTGTTGCATGGCCTACACAGCCTTGTCCCTCGGTCAGAAAGGGTGCTCGCTCCCAGAGTCCCTGCTGCTGTGGCCCCAAGGGCACAGTGGTGGGTGGTCTGGGAGGGAGTGCGCAGCCCACGAGACGGCAGTCTGTGGAGAGACAGTGGGTGGCAGCCAGCACGGAATCTTGGGCTTGGCGATCTTGGGGGTCAGGACGACCAGTGTGGCTGGGGCCCCGGAGGGAACTAGGCAGGTGCTTGGATGTGGTTCTGATGTAGTGGAAACGCTTGGAGGCTTCATGTTAGGGAAGAGCTTGTCCTGAAATTCAGATGTTTCTGTTTTCAGCAGGCGGGAGCCATTAAAACCTCCGTCACGGGGACGAGCATGCCCACGGGTAAGAAGCTGGAGGCGGCCCCGTGAGCTTCCCAGCCTCCCCGTGCTCCTGCCTCACAGCTCTCTCCTCACAGGCACAGTGAGTGGCAACGTCATTGTGAACACCATCGCGGGAGTCCCTGCTGCCACCTTCCAGTCGATTAACAAGCGCCTTGCTTCCCCCGTGGCGCCGGGAGCCTTGACGGTGAGTTGTCCCTGCTTATTGGCACCTTTGGTGGCGCATAGGACTTAGGAGCCTATGGAACTTGTTTGTATTTATGTATCTATTGTTTTAAAGTAATCCCTACACCCAACATGGGGCTTGAACTCACAACCCCAAGGTCAGGGATCATACAGTACCAATTGCCAGTCAGCGCCCCAAAATTTGTTTGCTTTTTATTTTTTATTATTTATTTATTTAAGTTTTTTTTTTTTTAATGTTTTATTTATTTTTGAGAGAGAGACAGTGTGAGCAGGGGAGGGGCAGAGAGAGAGGAAGACACAGAATCCGAAACAGGCTCCAGGCTCTGAGCTGGCAGTCAGCACAGAGCCCAACGTGGGGCCCGAACCCACGAACCGCGAGATCATGACCTGAGCGAAAGTCGGACGCTCAACCGACTAAGCCACCCAGGCGCCCCAAAAAAATTTTATTATTTTTTTTATTTTTAAGAGAGAGAGAGACAGACAGCATGAGCAGGGGAGGGTCAGAGAGAGAGGGAGATACAGAATCTGAAACAGGCTCCAGGCTCTGAGCTGGCTGTCAGCACAGAGCCCGATGCGGGGCTTGAACCCACGAACCGTGAGATCATGACCTGAGCTGAAGTCGGATGCTTAACCGACTGAGCCACCCAGGCGCCCCCCCCAGCTGTTTGCTTTTTAAAGAAATATCCCAGCTGCTCAGAAAGTACTGACACAGCCTCAGTTTCCTAAATTGATGTGAATGTTCAGGGATGGTGTCCACAGTGTGCTTGCCAAGGGGCGTGTATTGAACCTGAAGCGATTGTAGGGGGCAAAAGGCAGGTTGTGAGGCCATGTTGCCAACTCCACTGACGGGGCGCCTGGTGTACCCTGACAGATTTGCTTGTGGGGGATGTGGGGCCACAGAGATGGCCGCTCTCTGGGGAACCGTACGGGCGGGCGTGCAAGGGCCAGGTGGGTGCGGAGGGCAGCAGGGGTGGTCAGCTCACAGAGCGGCCAGACCTGTGCGTGGGAAGCAGGCAGAGGGAAGGCTGTGGCACCGTGAGACCCCCCTGAGCACAGAACTGGGGGGACCTTGCACTCGAGACACACACCGAGTCCGGCTACCTCCTTACCTTTGGTGTTTCAACATAAATGACAAACATAAACAAGACTCAGGAGATTCAGTTTATGTCTCCGTTTCTGGCTTAGTCACAAATCTGAAGACAGCGCGTGCCCTGCATGAGCGGCGCTCTGACCAGTAAGTAGAACGTTGTTCCTCTTGGTTTTGAAAGTGTGTCCTACGAAAGGTTTTGTTGGAGTGAACAAGACAGCGCACGTTGGCAGGTTAGAGACGCAGTTCCATGGAATCGGACAGAGTCCAGAAAGAGACCCGAATGCGTGTGGTTTCCGTGGAGTGCGCCAGAGGAGCGCAGCAAGAAAGCCTGGTCTTCTCAACAAGTGGTGCCAGAGGCCCGGGTAGTCCCGGGTGAGACTGTGAGCCCCGGCCCACGCTGAGCGCGAGGAGTCACCTGAGATGATCGTACACACGAACGTAAAACCCAAAACCGAAGGAGCCGTACGCTGAAATCCTGGGAGACCGTCTTTGCTCCCTTGCTTTAGACAGAAGTTGAAAGTTAGTCTTCATCGAAGTTAACATAGCCGCTTGAAAAGTATTAAGGAAGTGGAAAGCTTGGGAAATCTTTGTGGGGCACGTGTGATGAAGTCTGGTTTGTAGATTGAAGGAAGAGGACGGCTGCAGACCGCAGACGCCGCGCCCTGGTCGATCAGTCATCTCCCCGAAGCAGCAGCAGGAATGGCAGACTTGCAGAGATGCTGTGCGTTGCTGCTCCTCTGGGAAGAGCCGCTGAAGAGCACGTTGTGGGGAGGGGTGCTAGCCCGCGGCTCCGAGCGCCACTTTACAAACCAGCCCGCCGCTCACCTAGAGCTCGCGCTGCTGACGGCAGAGGCTACGCATCACATGGGAGGTTGGCCTGCCCGTGGCCGCGCACTTCCACACTTAGGATTTCCCCTGGGAAAGCGAGGGCGCGCTTGTGCATGACAACCTGAGTGTGAGCGTGTGCAGCGGCGTTGTTCGTTGTCACTCATGGAGGAAGCGACCCGAGGTCCTTCAGCTGGTGAATGCACGGGAGGCCCCTGGCGCGGCAGCTCCATCTGGGAACACCCTGCCGTGTCAGGTGGGCTTCTGGCCCGTGACGAGGCTCGCCAGTGAGCAAGCGGCGCTTCAGAAGGCCTTGCCTGCTGCGTGATCCCGTGGAAATAGCGTGGAGAAGGCAGAATCGTAAGTCAGGAGATGTATGTCCTATACCTGGACTGTGGCAGCTACCTGGCCGTACACACGTGTGAACACTCCTAGAGCTGTGTGCCGGAAATGGGTGGACTGTCCTGTCTGTAAATGACAGTTTAACGAATCTTGCTTAAAATGAGAGTATTCTGTACCACAGCACAAATGAAAAGCGTTTCTAGCATGTGATTTAGGGTTGTTTCATTTATTTTTCTTTATACTTTGCAGTATAGCACTTTTGATTCTGCGTTTTAATAAATAACAGAAGCCAGTAGTTGGGTGTGTGGCATCAGGCACGTTCTGTATGACCGATGGCATTCCTGGTGTGAGGCTGGGACACCCAGATCATTGCACTTGATGTTCCATTTTCAAAAAGACCTATTTTTACGTGTGATGTATTTGGGAGATAAAGTAATTCATCCATGATATACTTTTTAGTAGCCCTTAGAGACAAGATACTCTTCCTGGCGGCGCGGGACTAGAAACGGGCGTCCCACACAGCGCGCCTTCCCAGGGCTCCGAGAGTCCTGCAGCAGGGCCACGCAAGAGGAGCAGGCGACGGGGAGGGCTGTCCGAGCTTCCAGAGGACAGGACGGCGTTATCCACACACGTGGCCCTCAGCACGGGAAGGCGTGCACAAGGCACGGCGTGCGGTTCCGTTCAGAGAGGCACAAATACTCGCACGGCCAGTGGCTCCCACTCCCGCCAGGGGGCCGTGCCGCAGCTGTGTGCCCTCGGCACGACATCGAGGCTCGCTGCTCTCGGTGTATGTGTCCGGCGGAAGGATGTGGATTCGTTCACCAGGCAGCTGGGAGCCCTCAGACGTGCCTGAGCAGAGACGTGCACTAAGACAGTTCGCGTGATGTGTGTCGTAGACTGGGTTTCGAGAAGACCAGGGCAGAGGGAAAACCACCTCAGAAGTCCAGGAACGGACTTGGGTTTCTGGAAACGAGGTGAGGTGAGGTATTTATACTATTCTCTTAGTGAAATGCATTAAAACCATTGGATAAAGAAGCTTCATATCTTTTAAAGGATAATCTTCAGGACCAAGTCTAAGGGAAGAAGAAACTCAGAAACTGTGCTGAGTGATGTCTGCCTCGCACTACCTCTTACCTTGTCGTTGGACAGGGGACTCCAGTGCGAGCCCAAGGTTCGCTCACCCCTGGAGAGTCTGAACGGGGCTGCAGATGCCGGGAGCCTGACGGCTATTCCCAAGGGGCACGGCTGAGCCTTCTAGAAGCGGGACCCAGCTGCTCTCCGCCCTCGTGCTGACCCAGGGCAAGGCGGGGCCCCTCCTTCCAGAGTTGTAGCCACAAGTCTGCTTTGTGTCAGCAGCGGGGTGTTGGTAGAGTTTTGGGGAGCCAAAACTGTACATGCAGATTTTCAACTCTGAGGGGGCTTTGGCACCTGTAGCCTCCACACTGCTCAGAAGTTGACCGCAGAGAACTGGAAATGAGAAATATGGTTACAGAATTGACCAAAAAATCCTCTGGTAATGCGTTACAGTGTGTTTACACACAATTGAGAGAATTAGCTGGAACGTGAGTCAGAAGACCCCCCCCCCCCCACCAATGCAGCGTGGGGGCCACAGTAGGGAGTGCACAGAAGAGAGCGCGTGAGGCCGCAGAAGACCGACTGGGAGCGTGTGGTTCATCAGAGTCCGGATACGGAGGAGGACGGGCAGAGGCAGTGTTTGAGGACGTGAGTTTTCCAGAGCTGTGCGATGGCACTGGCCCGTGTACACAGAAGTCCCCGCCGGTCCTGACCCAGGACCATGGGAGGAACCCGGTCCTGGGATGCTGCCCCCGGACGTGCAGTTTTCTTCTCGGTGGCCGGGAGCTGGTGGGACGACACAGGTGCCCTAATGACAGACGGTGACCACCGCCCCTGGTGTTCTGTCTCTTCTGAAAAGACTTGTAAGAACGCGGGTGAAGTGGCATTCTCAGACAAAAACGAGAGGGGTACCGGCAGGTGGCCCTCGTTGAATGAAGCACGCTTCGGAGGGAAGGAGGCTGTTAGCAGATGGAAGGTCTGAGAAACGAGGTGGATGCTGACCTGACAGCAGCAGCGACTCCCCGTGGGGCCGAAGCGGGAACCGTGCACGGGGACAGCAGCATGAGTTAGCCAAGGACCGAGGTGCCGAAACGCCCTGGAATCCCTCGTTCAAGAGGAGCATGAGCGCGACGCTGTTGAGGAGACTGTGAAGAGTGTTCGTGGTGTGATTTTAGATGAGCCTCAGAAGAACGAAGAGCGTGACTTCAGGCTCAGGGGGAGAGACGAGACGCGTAGAGCCAGACAGTTGACTGGGAAGCACAGAGCGCCGTTCCGGGTCTGCGCGGGGGGGGGGGGGGGGGGGGG